AAGAAAGCTGTGTGAATGCTGAGTACTTCTGAATATCTTCCTGGAGTTCTCAGCTTTTAGATGTTATGTATGGTTTTGTTACGAAAAATTAAAATAAAAAAGCCATCCATTTTTTTGGGGGGATGGGGAGCTGGTTGTGGGGTTTGAACTCTGGGGCTAGGCACTCTCCCAGAGCTCTGCAGCTCAAAGCTAGTGCTCTACCAGTTGAGCCACAGCACCACTTCTGGTTTTCTCGTGGTTAATTGAAGATAAGAGTCTGATGGACTTTCTTGCCCGGGTAAGCCATCCATTTTTGACTTTTCTAAACATGCCAAGTGAAAGTTATTTCAACAAGATTTAACAATCATCTTAAAGTTCCAGTGGTGCAAAGCACTACTAAGAAGGTGTGGTGTATGTAAAGATGAATTGATTCTGGGTCCTTAGATTCCATCCTCTGCCTTTGAGATTATGCTATAAATAATCGAACATAGGAGACTCATACGGATATAAATAGCTAGGCTTTAAGCAGGATGTTAGGGCCCAGAGTGGAGTGTGAAGAACTCAGAAGTGGATAGAGCAAATATTTTGTTATGAGAGAGAAGATCTGAAGAAAGCTTCAGAGAGGGATGGCCATAAATTGAGTGTTTAAGAGTTAATGGGATTTTAACAGATGTGAAGGCAGTAATGATGACTGTGTATAAGAGAGAGAAAAAAACGAGAGCAAAAGAAGAAGGGAGTCAGCCAAGTTCTAGAGTGTATTTTTTTTTGTTTTGTTTTCTTTTTAATGCAGATGCTAGGGCTTGAACTTGGAGCTTTGAGCTCTCATTCAACATCTTCTTCCATGACTGGATCTCTACCACTTTAGCCATACTTCCAGTTCCAGATTTTTTACTGGTTAATTGAAGATAAGGGTCTTGAGGACTTGTCTGTTCAGGTTGGTCTGAACCTCAAAGCCTTCTCATTAGCTCGAATTATAGGTGTGACACAACAGCTCTAGAAGCAGAGTAGCCAGAAGTGATACAGGGCAGTAAGTCTGGAAACATTATCTGCTACTAGCCATGATTATATACTTTGAAAAACTTTTGACAAGATTAAGTATTGACCTATATTAAATTTTAGAATAGAAAATTAGTTAATAGCATAAGCTGTAAGCTGAACAACTTTAGTTGTAATTCTGGCTTTAGTACTTAAAAGCAATAGAACATCACATGGATTTCTTAATCCACCTGAATTCCAGTTTTCTCCCCTGCAGTATGGAGATAATTATAGCACCAATTATGAGGATTAAATGAGATCACATAAATTAAAACATCTACAAGCCACATGACACCTAATGAAATTTATAAATGTTAGCTGGAATTATGTTGTAATGTTATGGATTTGCTGAAAAAAAAGTTAACTCTTTATTCAGGTAGTGTATATTTTTAAAAATTCTGTTGGTGACTCATTTATTCCAAAAAGATGAATCACTAAGAATATCAGAAGAACAAACTGTTCAGAATATTATGTGTACCTGTTAGGTATTAGAGATGTTAACTCTTGTTAATTTAGTTCACTAATATTTATTGAATATTTACCATATGTTAGTTCCCAGCTTGTACTGGAACAGAAAACAAGACACAAAAGATTTCTTTAAGAGGTTTATCTTTTAGATGGAGAGGAAAAGACAAATATGCCTATATTTTTATTATAGACTAGGCCACAATTTTTATCTGGTACAAAAATGTGTCACCATTTTTTAGGCCACATTAGGCTCTGAAATGACTCAACACATTTTAACAATTTTTGTGGAAATATGACTCTTTTAAACAGCAAGGTAGAATAGCAAATGAATCAGCACTCTTACAGAATAGAAATAATTTAAAATTTCAATGAAGACAGATTGTAATGTGAATTACAAGTACTGGAGAAGACTGGAGGGAAGAAGTAAGTACATGTAGAATCTTCACCTTCCTGAAGGAAGCAGAACGAAAGCAACAACCTAGAGACCAATTTTGAGAGGGCATTAGAGAAACTGATGTGATTGAAGTCCATGCAGAAAGAACCTCTAGGGAAAAAACAAGGGAGCCAGAGTCAATTTGCATGTAGAAAGGAGTGGCAGGCTGGAATATAGAGTTACTCCTTTGAAGATGGTGTGAAAATGGTCTTGAAGGAAGGTGATGTGATCAGTGCTCAAGCAAGTTGCCATGATAGCCAGTTACATGACACCAGAGAGACTACGAGACTTCGTCAGTTCAGTGACTTACATGTGAGGTTGCCCAAAACAGATGGGTGCCAGAGGGGAGACTAAAAAGAAGGTTATTTAAAGATGGAAAATCCTCCTCTCTCTGCTCTTGTCTAGCTCTTCTCAAGCTCTTTTCTCTCTCTTTCCCAGCTCTCTCTCTTTCCTAGGCCTTTCCCAGCCGTGTGGAGTCTCTCTCTTCTCTCTCTCTTCTCTCTCTTCTCTCTCTCTGCTCTCTCTCTGCTCTTTTCTAGCTCTCTCTGCTCTCTGCTCTCTCCTCTCTCTCTGCTCTCTCTCTGTTCTTTTCTAGCTCTTTTCTCTCTCTGTCCTCTCTTTCCCAGCTCTTGCTCTTTCCCAGACCTTTCCCAGCCACGTGGAGTGCCAACCTTGCCTGGTCCCAGCAGGTCTACTGAATAAACCAACCCCTTACCTGAATTAAAAAAAAAAAAAAAAGATGGAAAATCCATGAATGAATAAGTAGGACTTTGAGATTGATGTTTACTAATAGAATAGATGGCTAAAATAAGATTTTGAGAAAAAAGATGATATCTGTGTAGAAATGGAGAGGTCAGGAAAGCTTTCAGGCAGGAAAGAAAGTAGTTCGAGTAGCTAAGATATGGACATCAAAGGAGAGACAGAGATGGAGAGGGAGAAGGAGAGGAGTTTGGGAAAAGTTAAAATAATGATTCACAATTCTGCCATTTTAACACAACTGACCCTCCTTCATATCCACTTTGCCTTGTAGTCCTAGTTTTTATACTCACATATGCCATTTTGCATTTTAAAAATGTTTTGTACACATTGATTTTTATATAATTATAAGGCTGAGTACTTTACCTTTAATTTGTTCTTTCCCCAGAGCTTCCTGAAAGCAGGGACCATATTGATGTTGTTTATGCCTTTGTGTCCAGAAAATAGGAAAATACTAACATATGTCCACTTCTGACCCCCTACATTATTTTCATACTTTTCTTTATAAAAATTGCTACCACAGATACGTATATGATATTTTTGGTTGTTTTGCTTCTGTTACATTGTTTCCTTATGATGAATTCTCAAAGTTAAAATTTTCAAGGTTGGAATTGCTGTGGGTAGACATGGAATCTATTAGCAGAACATCCAGATGCCAATATGAGTTGCTATTAGAAGACATGCTTTGAAGTTTGGTGAAAATTAGTCCCCAAAGTTAAATTAAGGACTTGATTAGAAGATATTGGGCTTTGATAGGTCTAGGTTTTTGTATGTTTCTTATAAGCCATTTCCTTGTCCATTAAGTAACTGGCAGGAAAATTCATACAGTGAACTGTTTTTGTGCTTGCCATTATTTGGAATAATGAAAGCACCTAAATACCTCCTGTTTTGTGACTGCACCATCTTTAGTCTGCAGTCTCTCTCTCTCATATTTCCTGAAGGATGAAAGTAGATATTGTACCTTTGTCCTATGTATCTTTGTTTCATAGAAGACAAAAAGCACAAAGGGTAAGGACAGAAGGTTACAAGTGCTTTTTTAATGGCATCTGCTGCCCTGGTATTTCTTATTTTAGTTCCTCTGCTAGAAGTGTATCAGATGGCCATCACTCAACACTAAGGGGAAGGCTAGCATTTTTGGCTGGACGTATTGTTTTCCCTGATAGAACTGTCATTCCTTTAAGGTAGGAAGGAGGAAGGATGCATGGATGTTGGACAGGCACATGGTGTCTGGCACAATCTTCAGGTGACAGACCAACAAAGCTCCTAACAGCCAGCTCTTGGGTTGGTGTGAGGAAGACATTGATATTTATGTTACACATATGAAGAACAAAAGATGCAAATTTGAGAGGAGTCTAGAAATAGCTCTGACTTTGATGAATCTGTTTCTCTCCTTTGGATTTCAGTTGAAAAGCAAAAAGGACATATGATATTTTGTTCTTTAAAAGCCAGCAAATGTAGCATTGAATTCTAGAATATTGCAAAAGTGTACATTCACAGTAAGGGTTAATGATAAATGACTTCATTGCTGGCAGATTTTAGTTATTGAAATTAAGGGCTAAGAAACACTCAGGGCAGATCACTTTGGTTAAGGAAATACCTAATAACCATTGTCTGGCCCTTAGGAACTGTCTTTATAAAACCCAGCTGCATATGCTTAACAGAGCCACAGTTCCAGGATATATTAAATATTTAAAATGTAAAATTTTGTTTATTTTTCCTGACTCAGGTCTTTTAGTTATCTACACATATACTTGGTGATTTAATTTAATAGTTCTCAGCTCTCACTGCAAATTAGAATTATTGAGAGAGTTTTAGAAAAAAAATGATGCTGGAGTCTCAATGCAGACATTCTAACTTTTGGGTTGGCCTGGTCTTATAAGTGAGAAGTAATGAAGGAGTACATTGAAGCAGGGGTAGTAGGGCAAGAGGAGAGGGGATAACTTTGAAAACTATTTAGGAAGCATTTTCTGGTTGAACTGTCTGCACACATGGAAATGTCCTTATTCCTACTGTCTAGTGTGGTCCAGAAATCACATGTGACTATTGAGCACTGTGACTATTGGCTAGTGTGACTAAAGAACTACAAGTTTGTTTTTTGGTTTTTGGTTTTTGAGATAGTATCTCATTATTGTCTTTGTACTTAAGGCAGGCCTAAATGTTGGGATTACAGGTTCACACTACTGCACCTGGCAGTGTACGTAATTTTGATGAGATGAGGCGGGATTCACAGCTCCTATGTTATATTTGCTTAGTATAAATGCAGTGTAGCGATGTCTCTGAAAATAGTTTTTTCTTACTATTTAATCTCTCTCTCTCTTTCTAACACCAGGTATCAGATTGTAGTAGAAATAATTCAAGCGACTACAATTAGCAGCTTTCCCCAACTGAAGAGACACAAGGGTAAGAACCAATTTATTCTGTTATACATTTGAAAGGTTCTGGGTCTATCCATAGTCTCTGTCTCCTATCAGACCTTTGGCAAATAATGAACATTCTTCTGACCTATATTTCAATCTCACAGTAGCTAAATAAGCTAGACTTGAGTGCCTCACATCTATAATCCTAGCTACTCAGGAGGCTAAGATCTGAGGATTGCATTTTGAAGCCAGCCAAGGAGGAAAGTTTATGAGATTCTTATCTCCATTTAACCAAAACTGCAGCTGGAGTGATAGATTGCTAGCCTTGAGCAAAAAAGTTCAGGAATGGCATCCAGACTCTTGGGAGCAAGCCTCAGGAGCACCGCAGGCATGTATGCGTGTGCGTACACACGTGCGTGTGCACGCATGCACACACATACACACCCTAATATTAAAAAAGTAAATGATATTTTATTCTATCAAGAATCTTGGTTTGCATTTTTTTAATTCTCTTACAACTTTTTTATGTGTAAGTCATTGATTTTATAAGGTTGGAGTGCTTGACCGTGTAGTATTTCTCTTTTGATTTTAAATGAAACACGACTACATACTTTTCCTTACACTGAAATTGAAACTTGATATTTGTTCATCTTTTAGTCTTAAAGCATTTTATTGATAAACAACCCCAGCAAGTTGTTTAATATTCACTTCATCTTCCCCATGAAATATTGTTAATAGCTTTCTTTATTTCTACATTTGGGTTCTGGATTTACTTTTTCTTTTGTTTATTTCTTTTCGAATGAAGTGAAACTTTTACTGAGGCCAGATTCTGAGGAAGGGCTAGGCATGTGGATAGCTTTCAGTCCTTGTCGTTGGCCTCATGCTAGCATATGCACCTTTGTATATGTGGAGTTGGAGAACATGCAGAGAAAAATCTTGTTTTGCTCTTAAAACCTGTATATGAAACTTTCACAAAAATCTCCATACCTACTCCAGTCCTTGTCAGGGAGCAGAATGCTAAATTATGAGTAGTTGATCCAAAACTTCTTAGATCTGTTCTCTCCCCAAGTTTCTAGTTATCACAGAAAGACAAAAGAAATGTCTCAAGACTTACAACCATGAGGCACTAACTGAGGTAGGAACTATTAGAAGGGAAGTGGTCAAATGCCATTCAGTGGAAAAATGGATCAAGAAAATGTAACACACACAGTGGAATTTTGTTCATCTGTCAGGGAAAAATATGTCATCTGTAAGGAAAATGGATGGGCTTGAAGAAAACATAGTTAAGTAAAGTAAGTCAGGCTCAGAGAGACAAAGGCCACATGTTTTCTCTCATGTGGAAGTGTCATAAGCATATATGCTCATATATATCAACTAAAGTATGGTGTACCTAGGGGAAGATTGCAATGGTATAACTCCTTTGAATAACTAACTTATACCTTAACAAAATGAATCCCAAGAAGCTAGAATTTGTGGCATCAGGTAGGGTATCAAGGAGAAGAAGGTAGAGAAATGGAGAAAGAAAGGGTGGGTGAATGCAGTCATAATATTCAATGTGTACATCTATCTATCTATCTATCTATCTATCTATCTATCTATCTATCTATCTATCATAAAATGGAACTGGGAAATTTGAGAGATTGATCAAGATGTAATATACTCATGAACTGACATGTTGAAATGAAACCTCCCTGTACAACTACTTAATGATAATAAAAAATAAAATTGAAAATATTTTTAGAAAGGAACTGAAGGTAGAGGGTATGAATTGACACTAATTCTTAATTTCTGCCTACAAGAGAAACTTTTATTGAACACCTGTTTTTTACATGATAATGATACAAAGGTAAACAAAACAGTGTTACTTTAGATGGTGATATGTGCCTCAGAGAAAAACAAAGTATGGGTTTGGGGGATGAATGCAGTGATAGGAAATGCTAGTTCAGCTAGAGCCCAGGGTGATTTTTGTATTCAAATGGTGTGTTAAGGAAGAACTAACCCCTATCTGACCATTGCCCAGCATTGAGCTGGGCCTTGAGCATAACTGGGGAAAGAAGGGCAAGTATAAATCCCTAGGCCTAAACTTGCAGGCTGTGTGAGGAAGCTTAAGTGGCTCTGAAAGGTCCCGGGAAATCTGATGGGTGACAGGCACCGTTCCTCTCCTTATTCTCATTTTTATTGCAAGACAGTTGCTTCAGTTTCAACAGTTTGACAGATACTTTAAGGAGAATACTGGATTTCCTCTCACCACCATTATTTTCCCTATAGGTCTTAGTAAAAGACAGGCTACATAGGCTTACTGACAAGGCTAAGCAAGGTCTCTGTCTGCTCATTAGCAAATGCATGGTTCCACTGGCTACTCCTGCCATGGTGTCTGCTTATTTCTTAAATAGGCTTTTCACTGAAATGGAGTGACACTTTAGATTATGAAATTTCAGACGTTTGATGTGGTAGTCCCATTTGCTCTTTCAAAAAAAAAAAAAAAGGAACCAGACTTGAGTTGAAAAGCAAGGTAAATAATTTTGAGTTTCTGGTCAGTTTTGAGGTGATTTTCAGGTAAGTACTAATGAGAATTGTTGCCAGTTTCATCTTACCTGCTAAAGCACCCTTAACTCATTTTAAACCTTGATTAATCATTAAGTAAATACATAACCTCTTTCTGGAACCTTCCCATCAAGAGGATTTGGTGAAACTTCTATTTCAATGTGTAAGAACAGTTAAAGGCTGGTCTTTCAGGGTGCATATTGGTTGAGGAATGGAGGCCATCAAGTATGTTTTAGTAGTGAGGCAGTCCCCCTTTCTTACCTTGATGATCTGGGCCTTAAGAAGATCTGTGGATCCTGGGGAGAGAATGAGAACCTCTGAGGAGTCAGGGAAAGGGAGCTTGTGTAGCCTTGCCCTCTCCATGGTCACACAGTTGCCTCTTTATCTTACTTCTCACTGGAAGTGGAGTGTAGCAGATTTGACAGTGTCTGCAGACATTTTTGGTTGTCATATCTGGGAGCAAGGATGCTACTGGCATCTAGTGGTAGAGCCAGGGATGCTACTAAAATCTCTACTACTCTACTACTAAAATCTCTGCTACTATACACAGCACAGCACCCCACAGCTCCCCATACAATCTGTTGAAAATGTTGTTGTTGGTAAATCCCTTAGAACATGGTATCATGCTACCAGAGAACAGTCTACTGTCTACAATTTTTATACTTCAAAACCACAGTGGTAGATACTCTTGTACTCTTTCTGGAGTCACCAATTTGTACTGTAAGCTACATTGTACTCTTGTGCCTCATGAAAGAAAGCACCCAATAATTGCTCGTGGGTGTTTTATTTGAGGTCGTTCATTGCCTCAAGGAAGAACTTACACTGGACAGAAGACTTATAGGAAAATACTTTCTATGATATGTCCACAGAAATTTATTGTAATGTCATTATAGCCAGAAGGATTCACCTAAATGTCTAATTGAAATGTGTTGAGCAGATTAGCCCATATTCTTTTGTTGTAATCTCAGTAGAAACTAGACTGTCTAAGAGAAAGAATATTCTATCACTTGTACATTCATCCTGGCACAACTTAAAGGAACCACTGTAGTCCACCACTGTTTGTTATCTTGACTTCTGTTTTAAACTAGATTAAGTGTTTGTGATTAACCCAGTTTTAACAATGATAGCATTACTACTTAGGACTGTAGAAAAATAGCTCTGAGTCTGGCTTGAGTTGGGTCACAGCATGTTGCCGCACACCCACTGCTTATACTTTTCTTGACATGAATATTTCTTCAATGAATGGGCTTTAAGGCCAAAAGAAACGTATTCATCTTCATTGCTGGATTTATAGGGATTTTTTTCATGCCAGAAGCATAGATGCAAGAGTTAGTTCTGTGTTAGCCATTTAATTCTGAACATGATTTTCATTTTCTGAGGCAAAATAAGCAGAATTGTCTGTGTAACAAGCAGTGATTACATTTGTTACTGTCAAGCTTTGTGATCAGACAGTGGTATTGTATTACCCTTTAACACAGAGAACTGCATTCACGTGAGAAGGCTACATTCAAGCTAAGTGGGAAAATATTCTCAGCCTTGCAGCTGGGTTTTAGGGGAAGATTTATTCTCTTATTCTTCCATCTCTTTGGAACTTGCTTCTAGTTTTTGTTCTTTAGAACAGCTTTTAAGCTTTCTTGGGAGGAAGAAGAATGTGGTGGTTGATAGATGAATGTCAATTTCTTCCTGGATCTCTTTCTCATTATTAGCATGTTTTAAGTCCAAACTAAAATTAAGTTCCAGGTTTGTTGTCTAAAACAATTTTTGGCCCTAAAGTTTTAGGTTAGTTTAAATGTTGCACACAGTTTTACAGTTTAAAGATACATGTTTTGAAAGCAAACATTTTTCTGAAAATTTGGCCTTTCCAGGCAAGTGTTTCTCACACACAAAGTATCTTACTTTGCAATAATCTTATTTGGGGCAAAATACAGTTACTTTTTTTCTTTTACAAAGGGACTCCAACATACTAATTTTTTCCTGTTGAGATAAATGCTAAGTTAGTGAGTTTTTTTGGCCATTCAAGCATAGGGTAGGTTCAGAAGCCATTATTGAAGTCAAATAAAAAACATTTCAGTGAATATGGGAAAACATTCCATAATTTTTGGCAGCACATTGAATAATATTTTCTATTGACCTGTGACTCTTTGTGGTAAGTACTTTTCTGACAGGTAAACATGTTTTATGATACTGTGTGCAAGTTTTTAACTTGGTGTTTGAGACTCAAAGACCAATTTTTTTCATCCCAGGCAAGTTTTTTAGATTCTAGCATGAAAGGAAATCGAAGACAATGAACAATTAAAAGTATAATGTGAATCTGGGTGCCCCTGGCTCATGCCTGTAATCCTAGCTACTCAGAAGTGTGAGATGAGAGGATTTGAAGCCAGCCTGGGCAGACAAGTTGCAGAGACTCTTATTTCCAATTAACCAGAAAAAAGCCAGAAGTGAGGTATAGATATTTCAAATGGTAGAGTTCCAGCTGTGAAAGAAGAGGCTTAGTCAGAGCTTTAGGTCTTGAGTTCAAGCCTCAGTACCAGCACACACACACAAATGTGTAAGATGGGTTATGCAAGTTCCATTAAACTGACATGAGATTCTAACCTAGGCTTTAAGAAAAATACATTCACAAAACTCTGCAAAACTTGGCATGACTCAGAAGTCAAGATATCTTATAAATATGTTAGAAACAATAGCAAGAAAGAAAAAAACACTTGTGTCCTTATCTTGGGGTTCATTTTGCCTAACATCATCTTATTTAACCTTTTCAGCTTGTCTCAGACATATACTAGTTATTGCAAATAAGGGAAACCATGGGACCTATGTTTCTTTGGGCCTGGCTCTTTGTATGTCCCTCTCCCATGGTATCACTCCTGTTTTCGCTGTATTTGCTTATGTGGTGCTGAGGAATCGAACCCAGGGCCTCAGGCATGCAAGGCAAGCGCTCTACCACTGAGCCACCTTCCCAGCCCTTTTTCGCTGTATTTGATGTTGGTATAATTTGGGGAGGGGAAGGGAATAAAACAAATAGTTTAAATAGGGATACAGGTGGACCCATTGCAACAATAAGATGTACAAAATGCTATGTTGAAAAATGAACTTTACAACTTTGGTGGAGCTGGGGAGTATAGTCGTGGAGATGGGAGGGCAGGGATGGTAGGGGGAAAACAAAGGAGGAGGCAACAATGCTTGATAAGAAATGTACTTATTACTTTGCTCATGTAATTGTAACCCCTCTGTATGGTATTTTCACAATAAAAAAACTTATTAAATAAAATTTTTAAAAAAGATATCATATGTTAGCTGGGCACCAGTGGCTCACACGGTGTAATCCTAGCTACCCAGGAGATTGAGGCCTGAGAATTACAGTTTGAAGCCAGAAAAGTCCCTGTGAGACTCTCATATCTATCAACCATTCAAACCCTGGAAGTGGCACTGTGGCTCAAAGTGGTAGAGCACTATCCTTGAGCAAAAGAGCTCAGGAACAGTGCCCAGGCTCTGAGTTCAAGTCCCATGACTGATTTAAAAAAAAAAAAAGCATAGTAAAACAGAACTAGTTACAAGTTGGAGTGAGATTCTGATCTTTGTGAGCTACGTCACCTACAGATATTTTTGAGTATTAGTAGTCAATATTTTGGGATATTCCTTCACCTCATTTTGTGCCAGATCATGGTGATGGATGTTCATTCCCAGCATTGTTCTGATTGGCTGGTGCCACAGTAGATTTCCTATACATAATCAAAGTCTGAGGTCAGGCCTCTTCACTTTCCCAGGGATATGAAGACCCCAAGAAAATGTTCACTTGGTCATTTGTTTTGTAAAACTTTCTCCAAATAAAATGCTTTCTGCCTGACAGAAAATGAGTACCCAATAAATACATGGTTATAAAAGAATATGCATACCTGCACACCTATACAAAGCCATCAAATAGAGGGACAAAGGGTGAACAAATGCAGCATTGATACTGGACACTATGTTGAAAACAAGCTATACAATTTATGAGTGGAGACAGGAGGGAAAAACTGGGAGAGAGTTAGGAAAGGGGTGCCATTTTCCAAAAGGAAATGTGCTCTTGGAGGGGAGGGTAATGGTAGGAGGGAGATGAGAAGGGATGGGAAGGGGAAACAAAGGAGGAGGCAACAATGCTTGATAAGAAATGTACTCATTACCTTGCCCATGTAATTGTAACCCCTCTATATGATATTTTCACAATAAAAACAAAAAAAAGAAATGTACTCTTGCCAGGCACCAGTGGCTCACACCTGTAATTCTAGCTACTCAGAGTCTGAGATCTGAGGATTGCTGTTCAAAGCCAGTCCAGGCAGGAAAGTCCACGAGACTCTTACCTCCAGTAAACCACCAGAAAACCAGAAGTGGCGCAGTGGCTCAAGTGGTAGAGTGCTTGCCTTGAGCTGAAGAGCTGAGAGACAGTGTTCAGGTTGAGTTCAAGCCCCATGACTAACCAAAAAAAAAAGAAATGTACTCTTTACCTAACTGATGTAACTAACCCCTCTATATATCACCTTTATAATAACAATAGTTTTTTTTTCGGTCATGGGGCTTGAGCTTGGGCACTGTCCCTGCACTCTTCAGCTCAAGGGAAGCACTCTACCGCTTGAGCCACAGTGCCACTTCTGGTTTTCTGGTGGTTTATTGGAGATAAGAATCTCATGGACTTTATTGCCCAGGCTGGCTTTGAGCCACAATCCTCAGATCTCAGCTTCCTTAGTAGCTGGGATTACAGGCATGAGCCACCGGCACCTGGCTAAGTATTTAGCTTGAGATTCAGATACTTCTTTTTTATTTTTGGTCGGTCTTGGGGCTTGAACTCTGGGCCTGGGTGCTGTCCCTCAGCTCTTCAGCTCAAGGCTAGCATTCTACCACTTGGGCCACAGTGCCATTTCTAGCTTTTTCTGTTTATGTGGTGCTGAGGAATCAAACCCAGGGCCTCATGCTTGCCAGGCAAGCACTCTACCACTGAGCCACCTTCCCAGCCCTAAAAGAAAAAAATACATCAAATATGTATATACATGCAAGATAATTTATGTGTATATTAACAGGTTTTTCCCCACTAAATGCATAATGAATTTATGTCATATTCATACATTAAAATCCTATGCAGTGTTCAAAATAGACCAACTAGACCTGTATTTGCTAATAGGGATGAATCTAAAAGTTAGTGTGGAGATCTAACTTTAAAAAGAAATATCTATATTTATATATCTATATTTATATGATGTTACTTATTGTATGAGTTTTATAAAATATTTTCTATTTGAATAATTTGTCAGTGATATATTTAGAAATTATATTTAGAAGCTATTCGTATTGTATTGAGAATATACATCTATTTATTATGAATTCTATCATTTTGTGTAGAATCCAGTTGTTCAGAATATTCCACATCAGGCACTAATCTAGTTGAGAGCTATTGTATTCCCTCTTTTATACTTTGTCCTCTAAATGGGTTCTTTCATCACTCTGACTCAAGGTAAGGAATCTGCTGCAATGAAAGCTGATCTCCTGAGGGCCAGAAATATGAAAAGGTACATTAACCAGCTGACTGTGGCCAAGAAACAGTGTGAAAAGAGAATAAGAATCCTTGGAGGTCCCTCCTATGATCAGCAGGATGATGGGGCCTTTGATGATGGGGAAGGGCCTCAAAGTCAGAAGGTACAGCTTTGTAGTTTCTTATTTTTGCTATAACAAGTTTCCATAAATCCAACATAAGCATATATAGTTATTTAATCTTTTAATATTTAGCTTAATACACATAGTTCATATCTACAGCCTCACATAGTTTTATAAGTCAAAGAGCTTTGTTACTTTGTGTCCTTGTCTTCTGTAAATTGTAATAGATATGATAGGTGGGAAGTGTGTGTGTATATGTATCTGTCTATCAGTCTGTCTGGACACTCACCTGCATGTTTTTTCAACTCCCCTTTGTCCTCCTGTGGTCAAAGATGAGCGCGTTTATATTTGAAAGTACCCAGTGAAGTCACATTATCATTTGGGCAGAAATAGTTACTATGAAGTAGATGACATCTTAAAGTTATTTTTCTTACTTGATATCCTAATTTTGTCCATTTTGTGGTGAATTTAAGACTAAGATTATATAAAAACTACCTAAGACTACATAAAGAGGATGAAGCAGAACTAGATGAAAGCCTAGGTATAGGTTGCTTCACAAATCTGAAAATTTTCTCACTCAGGTAACAATGGCTGTTTTGGTACAACAAACCTTTGGACTATCCTGAAATCACAGAGCCTAGGAATGTTCTATTTTGGGACTTCTCCTAACTCTGAAGACCAAGTTTGTCTTCCAACAACTAAAGCAAGCTAGGATTAAAAGAAACAGCCACAGTATTTCTAAGAAGCTTGACTATGCCAGCCAGGACTTTGTGCAAATGCCACACTCCACTTTTGTGAGATGACAGTTGACCACAAAAAAACTAATATCAGTATAATTTTACCTGGATATATCCCTCTTAACATTTACCTGTTCTGATTTTTAGTCTCAGGGTGTTTTCCTGTTTATCTCTTGGTTTAAGTTCAAGTTCTGTGATTTTCCCCTGTCCCCGTGCTCCAGTGATGAGCTTTTGTCTTTGAACGTTTTCCTGGTGCAGTCTGCACCAAAGCCTCTTCAGCAACACTGGAATGTACCCCAGGATTCTATGCTAGAGTGAAGGAAGTTTTTTTGTTGTTGTTGGTAGAATTATTTCTGACTCATCTTCCCTAATCCACGTTTGTATGAACTTCTTAGAGCATGGTGGAGGCTTCAAATAATGCTTCATTGCTATGTGAATATAAAGACAGATATTGCGATCTCTCAAAGTTAGTAAAGTAACTACTTAGTAGTGGTCTGAAACAATTCTGGAAACTAATTATTAGTTGTCTATAGCAATGAATAGCCATCTCCTTGAATGAGCTACTAGAACTTGTTAAAAGAATGCTCTTCCCTTTCATCTCATAAAATAGGTCATTATCCGTAATAGAAAAGTTGAATTGATCACATTTATGTGATTTTAGAAATACTGTTGTACTGGTAATACTTCAGAAAATTTGCTACTGCCATAATATCTCAAAATGTAAATTTTTTATTTAAGTGAATTGGAGTCCCATTTATTAGATACCACTTACTACTAATTCAGAATAACAATGTATGTCTTAAGTTCCTTCTAAATTAATTTAAGACTTTTCTTCTAATTGAGTCATAAATCATTGAGAGTCACCTACTTTCTTACAGTACAACAGTCAATGTTCAAAATGGTTCCTACTGTGTCTTCATAAAGGTGGCTCTTTTTTATGTGTGAACATTAAATATTAAAGATATAATAGAATTTATTTTTATAACCATACAATGGAATATTAGGGACAATTGAAATGATGCTTGCAAAAGACTTTTTTTGGGGGCCAGTCCTAGAGCTTCAACTGTGGGTCTGGGCATTTATCCCTGGGCTCCTTTTGCTCAAGACTAGCGCTCTATTACTTGTGCCACAATGCCACTTTGGCTTTGTCTGTGATTAATTGCAGAAAACAGTCTCACAGACTTTCCTGACTTTCCTCTGCAGGCTGGCTTTGAACTGCGATCCTCAGATCTCAGCCTCCTGAGTAGCTAGCATTACAGGCATAAGCCACTAGCGTCTGGCTTAAAAAGACTTTTCTTTTAAATGAGTATGGTGTTACAAAAAGTGAGGAAGGCGGGATGTCGAACCATTTCTCTTCAGTTTTTTTAAAAAAATGATTGATAACTACTGCTTTTCATGTACCACATCCATGCAATAGTGCAAGGATTTTTTCTGTTGTTACCAAGTACTGTGTTTGATATCAGGTAGATGTCAAAATCTGTTGAATAAGTGACTGATTAATATGAACTTGGTATATTTTGAATATGTGCATTTTAATATTCAGTAAACTTTATTCCATTTAAGATTTAAGGTGATAAAAGAGATCTTTCAATTTACTTGAGATACTCTATTACATTGGCTAAGATTGTAAAAGTGTATTTTTCCATGAATGGAGAAGTTAATTAATTGGAAGCTAAAGAAAACTTATTTAAAATGTGACTTGCAAAAACCTACTGTTCAATTTCCTTAATAGATTCTTCAATTTGAAGATATTTTGGGCAGTCCTTTCTATAGAGAACACTTTCGAATATACATGGAAAGGATGGACAAGAGAGCTCTGATTGGTTTTTGGGAGTCTGTGGAACATTTAAAGAGTGCTAACAAGGTAAGGCAAATAGGCTTAAAGGCTATTAACCACTAGCTTAATGTTAAGCCTAGCTGATGAAAACTTGCATGTTAGAAAGTCAGCAATCTTCTTTTTAATGAAACTGTTAAGGTAAACAAATATTAAAAGCGTACATCTTAAATGTTCATTTAAATATTCAATTTAACAATAATAACATATCTCAGCCCATTATGGTACTTTATTTTTATAGAAGTTATTTTTATAATAATAGCTTTACTGTAATACACTACATTTTTATGAAGATGCTTCTGAATAAATAGCAAGGAAGCAAGTCATTTATAGATGTCCTAAGAGGTTGAATTTTATTTCAGGTAGTTATTTTTAACACACTGTAAAAATGCAGGTATATATCCACATTGCTATTACAATAAGCTTGTCACCTACCTATCAGTCTCCTAATACTGTCATTTGCTATAATACATACTTTTCCTCTTTGTGTTTTTATTCTTTTTTAAAAAATTAATTAATTTATTTTTTATTGTGAAAATACTATACAGAGGGGTTACAATTACATGGGCAAGATAATGAGTACATTTCTTATCAAGCATTGTAGCCTCCTCGTGTTTTTATTCTTATCTTCGTTCATAATGTACATTTTTGCATTAGTCTTGTTTTATTTCATGAAATAATTTACTTATTATTAAGTAAAGGAGCGTAAAAGCATTTAAAATATATTTTTATTTCCTTTAGATAGTTGTACAAGGAATTACCATTCAACAGAGCAGTTTGAATACAGTGTCTCTTGATCAATGTCACCCTTTTAAAATGTTAAAAACATTATCATTACACATATATGAATATATGTATAGTATCTATAAATGTATATAACCATGTAAAATATAAATGTATGTGATATATCAAGTATATAATTTTGAGACATTTCATTAATTAAGATATTTATTAAATCAAGACTTTGGTTTATATAACTTGGAAACTCATTTTGCCCTCTTCAAAGTAAAAGGAATATTTCATACATCATATTGCTTATTTGCATGAGTGCTGTTAGGACAAAATATAAATTTAAAACATACCACAACCCTACACTAGTATTTTAAAATCTTAATAGGAATACCTTTCATTGCTCAGTTACTAGCCACAAATTACGTCAATTTACCCAGAGTTGGTGTGGTGTTTGCCAAGGTTATTAATTATCAGGCTGGGCCCCAGCTGACTTTGGGGTGCTCATAAAAGGATATCATGAAGAATGATTTAGGGTAAATTACTGAGTACCATAGAAACTGTCAGTGAAGTAAAGCACATTAACAGTACACTGACTAGTCGCTCATATTTTCTTTGTTTACTGCTACTGTGAAGGACTTTGTATACCATTCCTAGAGAAAATGCAATAATTTTGTTAAATTATTTGTGTATTTATGAAGAAGGCTGATGATGGCCCAGGTATACTGCCTAAGATTAAGCTGCCCAATATAGGTGATGACAATGTAATTATCCTGAAGTAATGATTTTGAAAGATATTAATCTCCTTAAAATGTACAATAATTATACCAACTTCAGGGGAAATTATATTTGTGGAGTGAGCACTTCAATGATTTATACTAGTTAAAAATCAAATAGAGTTTAGTTTATATAATGTATCTATGGAATTGACATTATGGAAAACAGTCCATTGAAGGTAGAGTATTCTCATAATTATTTGTTTTTTTTTTCTCTAGCACTTAAAAGAAATTGCTCAATATAAAGTGTTCATTTTAAGGATCTTGCTGTTTCTGAAGCATAAGTCCCACAACTGTACTAGGAGCAGGGTATATCCCAAATAACTCCTTTTCATCTTTAACATGCACACAATTTAGTGGAAAGAATTTTTCTGGGAGATGATATTCTTTATCTTTGTCTTTTTTCTCTTTGTCTTTTCAGAATGAAATCCCACAATTAGTTGGTGAAATTTACCAGAATTTCTTTGTGGAAAGCAAAGAAATCTCAGTGGAAAAATCCCTTTACAAAGAAATCCAGCAGTGTCTTGTAGGAAATAAGGGGATTGAGGTATTCTATAAAATCCAGGGAGATGTTTATGAGATACTAAAGGAGAGGTACTACCCTTCATTTATTGTCAGTGACCTGTATGAGAAATTGATGATGAAAGAGGAAGAGAAACATGCTTCCCATTTGATTTCCAACAAGGATGAAATGGTGAGTCACACACAATTTGCTGTTCCTCTTTTTTAATTAGATAAACTTTATAATTAGATGAGTGAAATTTGGTGTGCAACAGTCTTTTAACATAGAAGACTAAGTGGAATATAAACAGTAACTTAAATTACCATGTTTCTTGTAGTCTTGAATACTTGTTTTTGTTTTTGTTTTCTGTTGGTCATGGGGCTTGAACTCTGGGCCTGGGCACTGTCCCTCAGCTCTTCAGCCCAAGGCTAGCACTCTACCACTTGAGCTACAGTTCCATGTCTAATTTTCTGGTGGTTTATTGGAGATAAAAGTCTCATGGACTTTCCTGCCCGGGCTGGCTTTAAACCATGATCTTCAGATCTTAGCCTCCTTAGTAATTAGGATTATAGGCATGAGCCACTGGTACCCAGCTTGAGTACTTCTTTGTCCACCTCTTGTGCTTACTCACTTGCTGCCCCTACTCCATTGAGTCAGAGATTTCTAAGTGTCTTTGATATACCCCTAGTTTGACTCCTAAATGGGAGGCAAAAAATCTTTGTGTGAGGTATTTGTGCCTTTCACCAGTTTAGAGAATAAGTAGGCTAGTGTCCTGCTTTTGAATAAAGAAAGAAAGAATGAGGAAAAGATGAATAAAGGATGGTAATGTGGGAAGAATTATAGAAAATGATTGGGAGTTTAAGAAAAACCAGATAAAAGTATAATGTTCCAAAAGAAGCTTATAAAGCCATATCTTCAGTCTAACTTTATTATAGTATACTTGATCATTGTGGATAACTTCAGTTAACATTTCTCATTTCCTAGCATAGTGATTTTTATAAGCTTTAAGACTGATATATAGAATGCTAATAGTGTATCTTGGATTTTTTTCCTGCCCAGTTCACTGTATCTCTAACCCTTGGGAATCAAGTGAGTGTTTTTGATGGTATCAGAAGTCAGTTTGAGGTTTCTGAACTATTGTTAAATTCCATGATGTTCATATAGACTTCCTTTCTTTTGGTTTTGTTATCTGTTTTGTTTTGTTTTATATATAAAAGCACTGAACTGATAGGTCCAAACTCACTACTTACTATAGTTTATTTATTTATTTATTTTTTTTTCAGGTAAGGGGTAGGTTTATTTAGTAGACCTGCTGGGACCAGGCCAGGTTGGCCCTCCACGGGGTGGGAAAAGGCCTGGGAAAGAGAGCTGGGAGATCTGGGAAAGAGAGAAAAGAGCTAGAAAAGAGAGGAAAGAGCTAGGAAAGAGAGCAGGTGGGAAAGAGCAAGCTAGGAAAGAGCTGAGAAAGAGCTAGAAAAGAGCAGAGAGAGCTTACTATAGTTTATTTTTGATAGTTCACAGTTTGTTTTAACTGTGTTGTCTTTCTACTGCAAGAAATAAAGTGATGGGGCTGGGAAGGTGGCTCAGTGGTAGAGCACTTGCCTTGCATGTATGAGACCCTGGGTTTGATTCCTCAGCACCACATAAGCAAAAAGAAAAAAAGCCAGAAGTGGCGCTGTGGCTCAAGTGGTAGAGTGCTAGCCTTGAGCTGAAGAGCTGAGGGACAGTGCCCAGGCCCAGAGTTCAGGCTCCATCACCGGAACAAAAAAAAAAAAAAAGAAATAAAGTGATTTGGCAAATGTCTAAATAAGGTCATTTAAATCAATAAAAGTGTCAATACCTAATAAGTCAATTGCATAAATACTTGAATTGACAGTTCACATGAGAGGAATTAGTAAACAGATGGAAAAATATCCATATTCCCAGGACTCAAAGAAGGTCAGTTTATACAGCTGAACTTTTGGAAGCTATTAGCATTCTGTATTCCAATAATCCCTAGAAGTGGGAATATCCTAGATATGTATCCTAAGAAAATAATTAAAGTGTAGAAAGTATGATTTTGTTGTAGTTTATTTTAGTATATCTGAGAAAACAAGCAAAATCAACCCACAGCAGGAAGATACCTCAAAAATGCAGTATAAGACCATGCATCTGTAAAATTTAGAATTTGTAAGCCTATAACAGCTTATTACAAAAAAAACATTTTTTTTCCAAAAAAGAGAATATTCTTGTGAATGACTACAAGTCATAGGATTTTGTCAAGTGTATATATTTATACATAAGTAGAACCAAAATACAGAATTGAAATCAGCTTTTTTCTTTAGAACTATCTGTAGTTTTTCTTTAAAACATCTTTAATTTGTTATAACTAATAAAAATTACAAGAAAAAATCTAGGAGAAAGGTGGTAGTGAACAAACTAGAAATAGTCCTTAGCAGCAGTTTGTTTCAGTGCCCTGAATGCTGTTGGCTGTTTCTGACACTAATTAATATGCTATTCAGATTTTCCTACGTTTCATAGTTCTTTGTAAGCCACTTTTAAATGCTAATGTTTTTACTTGTACAATAAAGTGTCTTCAGATGTATAATATACATCTTCAAGAACAACATTCATGCTGAAAATACTAGTGGGGTTTTGAAATTTTTATTTTAAAATGATTTGCATTCATTTTTTTGTAGTATTGATAGAAGACCAGAAAAGCTAGATCTTTGTCAAAGATGAGGCATATAATATTCAGATAGAGTTGCAATGTTAACTTAGGGGCCTTCTCTTTTTCTGTGTGGATTCCCTTGGATGTACCAAATGAGAAATAATGGCATGGAATCCTCCTCCTTTCTTTAGTTTATTATGCATTTCCTTTTTTACTACAACTCTGAATGCCAGTTACTTTGGTTCCAGATACTTTGATTTTTCTCTTTGACTGAAAAAAATCCCCCATTCTAACATTCTAGCCCTTTGGAAGAGTGTTTTGTACTGATACAGGATCTTTAAAGTAGATGATTACTGAATTTTCTGTTATCATAAGATGATGGTATGCAACTTTCCCCAGGTTCCAGGAGGTGAGGCTGGGGAGGATACAGTGGATGAAGGCACCAGTGGAATTAGTGAACAAGCCAGCTTTACTGTAAGCAAACTAAGAGAGCTAAGTGAGAAACTCGAATACAAAAAACAAGCTCTAAGTTCTATTCAGAATGCGCCAAAACCTGACAAGAAGGTAAATATTGTGCTGTCAAAGCTGACTCTGAATATTTCCATTTGTCTCCTTTGATAAATAATGCTTTTCAGTTTATATTGAGAAGTTCTACTTTCTTTAAAAAGAATTTATTTATTTACTTATTTATTTACTTATTTATTTATTTATTTATTGTCAGTCCTGGGGCTTGAACTCTAGGCCTAGGCCCTGTCCCTGTGCTCTTCAGCTAAAGGCGAGCACTCTACCTTTTGAGCCACAGCGCCACTTCCAGTTTTCTAGTGGTTTATTGGAGATCAGAGTCTCACAGACTTTTCTGCCCAAGCTGGCTTTGAACCGCTATCCTCAGATTTCAGCCTCCTGAGTAGCTAGGATTACAGGCATGAGCCACCAGTGCCCGGCTTTAAAAAGAATTTTAACTGAGAGCAAGTTCCATGTTTTTTTTGTTGTTGTTGTTATGGCTTTGTTTATTGCTTCTGGAATAGTGTTAGAAAAGAATTTGGAATTCTTTTGGTTTGGAATTCTTTCTCACCATCATCTTTGACTTGACTATTCTTTCTAACTAGCCTGACTATAGGGCTTTTAAGGAAGGGGGGTAAGGCTGGGTTTTTTGTTTTGTTTTGTTTTGTTTTGTTGTTTGTTTTTGTGATGGTCCTGGGGCTTCAACCCAGGCCTTGGGCTTTTTTGATCAAGGCTAGCTATCTACCGCTTGAGCCACAGCTCCACTGTTGTTTTTCTTTTTTACCTGAAATGGTGGAGCTTTTTTTTTTCATTTCACCTGCCACAAACACAAATTAAGGAACTTTGCAGAATTACTCAAACAGCTGTTTTGCTAAAAACTAACAGATCTTGCTAATTGGCATTTTTCTTTTTTCTTTTTTTTTCTTTGTTTGCTGTACTAGGGTTGTACTTTGGACCTCACGATTGCTAGGTCTACCGCTTCAGGCATGTGTCCAGCTAAATTGGCATTTTTTAAACCAAGCTTTGCGTTGCCTGTGTACCTCTGAAGTCTAACAAGGAGGTCTCTCTGATGTAGGTGGTAATAAAGCTCTGTGCTCTGCCACATGGTCTCCTCTGGCACTTTACTTCATGTGACAGGAAGGCAACTTTGAATTTAAAAAAATTTAGTGAATCACATTTTTTTTTTTTTAGTACTTTTTAGTACTTATGTACTACTATCATGAATATCTGAATGTTTTTGTAATGAAAGAATATTCCTGAGATAAAATGTAGAGAAATCGGCATATTATGAACCTATTGATGATCTAGTCAGCAGAGTTATTCATAGGTAAGCCAGTTACTATCTAGTTAAAACCATTGTATGTTTTTCTTTCTGTTTTTGTTTTTTGCATTACAGGAGGTAGAATCTAGTTCATCTTGCATGCTGGGTAGCCCATCCACTACCTTTCCCTCACTATTTTTTTTTAGAAAGAAAAAAAAAGGGAAAGTCTTATATAGGAGTACAATATTTGTCAATAGTTATCTTTTTTACAAAATTGTAAGGCAAAAAGAAGTTTAATATGCAATTCATTTTAATAATCCTAATAGTACTCTGAAAAGAAACAGCTAGGTTTCTTGGTTCATCATAAGAAACAGGTTTTGTGCATAGAGAACTTGTAGAGGCTTTGAGTATTCCTGGTAAAAACAACAGCTATGAGATAACAGAATTAGCTGGACCGGTAAATAATCAGTATCTTCAATGTGGCAGATTCCCGAAGACTAGTTATCTTATTTGTTATGAACTCATTGTAAATCAAAATGTATTTATGGAGAATAGCATGAAAGATGAACTAGAAAATGTTATTGAATTAGTTTCTGTTTGGTTCATAATTTGGTTGAAAGACAGTCTTTAGTCTTAAAAGAAATTTTAAAACCATGGAATGTACATTCTGAGCTATAATTACATGAAAGAATTCTCAGGAGACTTGGAAAGATTCACTAATATGATGGTTTAATTTGAATGCTAGTCTCTGATCCCTCCAAAAGCAGGCTACATTTCCTGATAAATCAAATTGTCCACTGTTGTGTGAGTTCACAGGACTCCAGAAGCAGACATTGTACTCTTTTCATTCATGTTGGTAAATATGAAATGTAAATATAAAATTAAGGTTTTAATATTCAAGACTGACATTGAAAAGGTTTTAATGATCTAGAAGTTAATACATGCCTCAAAGGAACTTTTATTAGAATGATTTTTCTGTATTAAATATGTAATTGTGAGTCAGAACATTTTTGCATGTGTTAATACTGGTGAAAGTTTTCTTTCCCCAGAGAAGCAAGCCAGGAATATGCTTAGAACTCCTCTCAGATCTTGGCACCAGCTGCTGAACGTGAACTTAGTCTTGTAGTTTGATTGCTTGAAATCTACTGTCAGGGTTTATCTTATTTCTTTGGAGAGATTTTGTGAGTCTGAAGCAAACTGTCCATTCTGCGTTATTATTGGGAGTAAATCATTAGGATCTTAGTAGCAGAAGTAACATGTAAATGCATGATGCATGAATAATCAGTGAAACAGTTTGACACACCTGCTCTAAAGGAGCAGCCATGACTATGGAATTAAAACATTCATGAAAATAAAATGGTCACAATCTTTTTTGATGATCAGATGCAGGATGATGGTATATACAAGAGACACTTCCTGTAGGTCTTCTGAGGAAGAGGAAGACTGGTAGACTGTGTGTTCAGAAGAGTTTAGGGACAAAGATGCTGTTCTTACCCTTTGGGGTTCATAAAAAGATGAGTGAAATACAAGAAGATAACAAGCATAGCATTTTAAAACATTTTAACTACTTCATTTGAGTAGAATCATACAGTATTTGTTCTTTATGCTGGCTTGTTTCATTTTGCACGATGTCTCCAGTGTTTTCTTTATGTACGTGTTCAAATTTCATTACATTGTAAGGCTAATATATCACATTTTATTGTGTGAACCATTCTTCCATCAATAAACATTTCAGTTTGTTTTCATCGGTTGGCTATTTTTCACTAGTAATGTTGCTGTGGAGGTGTTTATACAGGTATCTTTTAGAGATCCTGTTTCCATTTCTTTGGTGTGTATGCTTAGAGGTGGAATTGGTGGGTCATATGGTAATCTGTTTTAATTTTTGAGAACTACCTTACTATTTTCCACAGCATTTGAACTATGTCCCTTATTTACTTACTCCCTTATTAACTACCTATTCTTTCTTCCCTCCCCTCACTACTTTCTTGCTTCTCTTTCCTTCCTTTTCTTGCTTTTCTCCTGCCTTTCTTCCTTCCTCCCATTCTAAAAACTATAAAGTAACAACTCATTGTGACTCTAATTTGTATTTCCCCACTAAATAGTGTGGAATGGCATGATTGTATGTGTTTATTAACCATTTCTTTATCTTCTTTAGAGAAATACCTATTCATGTCCCTTTTTTTGGGGGGGGAGGAGGTTTTGGGGGTTGAACTCTGGGCCTGAGCACTGTCCTTCAGCTCTTCAGCTCAAGGCTAGCACTCTACCACTTGAGCTACAGCTCCACTTCCGGTTTTCTGGTGGTTTATTGGAGATAAGAGTTTCACGGACTTTCCTGTCCAGGCTGGCTTTGAACCGCAGTCCTCAGATCTCAACTTCCTGAGTAGCTAGGATTAAAGGCATGAGCCACTGGCGCCTAGCTTGTCCTTTTTGTTTGCTGTCGAATTTTAGAAGTTCCCTGTATGTTCTGACTATAAAACTTTACCAAATATTTTATTTGTAAATGTTTGATCCTAGTTTGCAGTTTGCCTTTTTGCTTTATTGTTAGTGCTCTTTGATGTACAGAAGTTTTGAATTTTGATGAAATACACTTTGTTCATTTTTCTTTTGTTGTCCATGTCTCTGGGGATCATACTATTAAATTATAGCCAAAACTCATGTTGTGAAGCTTTCCCCCTGTGTTTTCTTCTAAGATTTTTAATTTTTATAGTTCTGTTTTTTTCAAAAAGATTTTTGTCAGTGATGTACAGAGGAGTTACAGTTACATAAGTAAGGTAATAAGTACATTTCTTGTCAAATATGTTACCCCTTCCCTCATTTTTCTCCTGCTTTCCCTCCGCCCCACCCTCCTCACCCCTAAGTTGTGCAGATAATTCCCAACATAGTGTCTTGTGTATATTGCTATTGCATTGGTTCTTTGTCTCACCATTCTGTTGTTCCCTTTACCTTCACTCATTCAAATAAACTTACAATACCACGGTACCAAAATCAAATACAGTGACAACAGGATATACCATAGGGGGAAGAACATACAAAAGAAACAAAAAATCACTTGAAAAAAATCATATTAAGTAAAATAAGCCAGACCCAAAGAAACATATGTCCCAGGGTTTTCCTTATTTGAAATAATTATTATACATCTAGGATGATCTTAGCAGATGTGTGCAGAATAGCTGAATATGACCATGTAAAATGATGCTAAGTGAAATGAACTCCAAGACAGGGACACAAGAGGTTTTTCTTTGTTGTTGTTTTTAATGTACTATGTGATTTTTCTGTTTTCTGTTATATGTTCTTCCCCCTATGGTATATCCCCTGATGTTACTGTATCTGATAGGTTTTTAATTCATTTTGAATTAATTGTAGTGGTAAGGTCCCAACTTCTTTCCGTTGCCTGTGGAGATAGATGCCTTGCACAGTTTGTTGAAAACATTTTTCTTTCCACATTAAGTGGTCATGTTATCCTTGTAGGTAAATGGACTCTGTTCTCCTCCTCCTCCTCTTTTTTTTTTTTTTTTTTTGAGTTCAAGTCCAAGGGCTTGAACTCAGGGCCTGGACAATGTCCCTGAGCTTCTTTTTGCTCAAGGCTAGAACTCTACCATTTGAGCTGGCTTTTTCTGTTTCTGAGGTCCTGAGGAATAAAACTCGAGGCTTCATGCATGTTAGATGAGCACTCTACCACTAAGCCACATTCCCAGCCCCCTCCTCCTCTTTCTCTTCTTTTTTAATTTCCTCTTCTTCTCCATCATTATTTTCTTCTTCTTCTTCTTTGTTGTTGTTGTTGGTACTAGGGATTGAATTTAGGGTCTAATGCTTGTTAGACTAGCATTCTCCCATTTGAGCTATACTCCTGGCCTTTTTTTTTTTTTTTTGAGCTTTAATTATTTTTCAGATAAGGTCTGTTTGTCAAAGGCTATCTTCTTCAACCATGATCCTTCTACTATGACCTCCTGCATAACTGGAATCATAGGTATGCATTATCACACCTGGCTCCTTTGTTGAGATGGAACCTCAGTAACATTATGCCCAAACTGGCATGGCATGGTGATCCTCTCAGTCTCTACTTCTCTGCTAGTCAGGATTACAGGCATGAGCCATCCTGCTCAGCCTGTCCTAAGTCTTTACCCAAGTCTGTAATGTTTTTTTTTTTTTTTTTGGGTCCGGTCATGGGCCTGAACTCTGGGCCTGGGCGCTGTCCCTCAGCTCTTCAGCTCAAGGCTAGCGCTCTACCACTTGAGCCATAGCACCACTTCCGGCTTTTTTCTTTTTGTTTATGTGGTGCTGAGGGATCGAACCCAGGGCCTCCTGCATGCAAGGCAAGCGCTCTACCACTGAGCCACCTTCCCAGCCCCCCAAGTCTGTAATGTTTTGAGTAATGAAGTTTTCTAAAAGTTTTGAAGTCAGGAAGCATAAGTCCATCAACTTTTGGGGGGCTGTTTTGTGTCCCCTGAGATTCTACATGAAGTTTAGGGTGAATGTTTCTATTTCTACTAAATATGTTATTAAAATTATGGTAGTGCTTACATTGAACCTATCGGTTGCTCTGGTTAGTACTGATACCTTAAAAATATTATATCTTTATGAACTTGGAATGCCTTATGAAGATTTGTCATTTTTAATTTCTTTTATCAATGTTTTGTAGCTTTCTTTATAGGAACATTTCATTTCCTTGGTTAATTCCTATGTATTTTATTCTTTTTGGTGCTACTATAAATGGAATTTTTAAAATAACATTTGTGGATTGCTCATTGTTAGCTTATAGAAACAACTGGCTTGTGTATGACAAGTTGCATAGCTTTTAAAATGTTTCCATAAACACCAGGATGTTTTTCTTGTGGCAGATTGTTTCCAAGTTGAAGGATGAAATACTTTTAATAGAGAAAGAACGCACAGATCTTCAGCTGCACATGGCAAGAACAGACTGGTGGTGTGAGAACCTTGGCATGTGGAAAGCCTCCATTACCAGTGGAGAGGTAGGCTTTGCTGCTTTTCCACTTACTCCCTAAGTTTTGCTTTGCTTTGCTTTGCTTTGCTTTGCTTTGCCTTGCCTTGCCTTGCCTTGCCTTGCCCTGCCTTGCCCTTCCCTTCCCTTCCCTTCCCTTTCCCTTTCCCTTTCCCTTTCCCTTCCCTTCCCTTTCCCTTTCCCTTCCCTTTCCCTTTCCCTTTCCCTTTTCCTTCCCTTCCCTTCCCTTCCCTTTCCCTTTCCCTTTCCCTTTCCCTTCCCTTTCCTTTCCTTTCTTTCCTTTCCTTCCTCCTTTCTTCTTTCTTTGTCTCTCACACTTTCTTTCTCACTTCTTTTTTCCTTCCTCATGCTCTCTTTCTCTCACACTTTTTCTCTTTCTCCTTTCCTCCCTTCTTCCCTTCCTCCCTTTCTCTCATTCTCTTTCTTTTTTCTTCCCTCTTCTTCCCTCCTTCCCTCTCTTTCTTTTTTCTTTTTTTCTCTTTCTCTTTCTTTCTGTCTTTGTCTCTCCCTCTTTTCGTTCCTTTCCTTTCCTTTTCTTTTCTTTTGTCTTTCATGCTGGTCCTGGGGCTTGAATGCTGTCCCTGAGTGCTCTCCCTGAGCTTTTGTGCTCACTTGAGTCACAACTCCACTTCTGGCTAATTGGACAGGTGAGTTTCTTGGCAGGTTTTGAAAAGTGATCCTCAAATCTCACCATTCTGAATAAGTAGGGTTATAGTCATGAGCCACCTGTGCTTGGAAATTTGACTTTATAAGACAAGATTTTGTCCACATTCTTATAGATCATATTTGCCCATTGCCTTCCCCTCTGTTTCACTCTGGTTTGTCCATGATTAGAAGGTATCCCTGGAAGCATAGCTTGGAATGATCTCACCCACCTCAAACAGAAAATTGTCCTGTTCACTGGAAAATTATCAGCAACATTGGTAGGAGACTATTTAAGATCCCTGAGATACTTATTTATTTTTTTATTGATGATTGAAATAAATGGAAAATATTTTTTGAAATGTGAAAATAAAAAACTAAAAGTTTAGATACGTCTGTTCCATTCTGCTGCTGTGACTTCAGTAACTTAAATCTCAGAAGTTTAAAGATCTTTAATAATGAATTTTTTTCCTTTTTACTGTCTAAATGTTCTTCAAGGACTGTGGGATACTAATTTGCAGACTATGCTTGATCCCTTTTCATTTGTCTATAAAACATTGCAGGTTGGAGTAAAGATGCTTCTAAGCTTTGACTGTACATTGTTATTCTTGCTAGTTCCTCCCTCCCACCTATCAGTGAAGTGGAAAGTGAAAGATGAAAGTCACATCATTCACATTATGCTCACATAGCAAGATCCCGAGCAAGATGGTATTAGTGATATGTTTCATCACTATTTGAAAGGCTTATTGTTGTTCGTCTCTTTCATTTTCTCAGTGGCTTGGCACTCTTTATAATTTATAATCTTAATTTCACATCTAGATAGCAAAACAGGATATATTCTCTGGGAACTGTTGTGGAAGAATTTATAGTATGTGAATGTTTAATCAAGTACTTATTGGCACTTACTAGTACTCCCATTAAGCTATATTGCAGTATTGCACACATTTTTTGAGGTAAGTTAGGGAGCAGTAGAACAGGGAAAACTGTTTTCAACCTTAGATATCATATAGAAAATATAATAATTGATAACTTTGGATGGAACTACTATTTTAGTATAGATAGGAATGTGCTAAACTCAGAGATATGTGTCAGACGGTCATAGAAGAGGACTGTGGGAGGAGCCACTCAGTTTTACTTAGAGCTGCCTGTGACATTTCTCAATATGTTGAAATCATCTTACAAAGGCAGACATGGAAGGTGGGAGGGAAGCAGTAGAAACATCTACAAAGAACTTTGCCCTAGAAATCAGGTTTTTATTCAAAAGTTTGCTGAAAAGATAAAGGAAATAGATAGGAGTGAGAGAGGTCAGCTGACCTCAAGCATTCACAGATCACTCCAAATAGGAAGTATGTGGACGTTTTTGTTTATTTTGAGGTAGACTCCTGACTTTTCATCCTAGCCAAACCTTGTACTATATATGTGGTTCCAGGAAACTGACCCTGTCAGTGACTTTACTTCTCCATCCACACAGAGGGATAGTATTTTTCCCTCACAAAGAATAATGGAGTGCTCATTCAACCTTACATGGCTTTCCTGCGGACGGCTCTCTAGTTTTATGGTACAAATTGAAGCTCAGATCAGTGCATTTTCTGTTTTCTTTTTCTTACTTGTTGAAGTGTGTGATGTCTAAGTTGAGAAGTAAACAAGTTATGTTTCTCTATAAAATTTCATGAGGTAAAGTTATGTTCATGGCAAAAAAAATTTTTTTCCTGAGGAATTTTGGAGGCTAGGTATGGTAGTAACATGCCAGTAATTCTCACACTTCAGAGGTTTACAAGTTCAAGGATAGCATATGCTATGTAGCAAGACCCTGTTTCAAAAAAAGAGAAATCATGGTTTTTGAATCCTGAAGTAAAGCTTAGGAAGCCCTCAGACAGAAGGTTAAGTCTCTTGTATTAACTTTCTTTTGCTATGTAACATATCATGGCATTCATTTATCAGCTCATAGTTGTAAAGACAAAAAAATTCAGCATAAGACTGTATTCTGTGCTCATTGGATCACATGACTGAAAACCAAGGTATTGGCCCAACCTAGCTCTTGTCTGGAAGACTGGGGAAGAAACTTGTCCAAACTTTTTTTAGGTTATTGGCAGAATTTATTTTCTTGTGATTGTAGATCTAACGACTCTGGCTTCTTCATGGCTTCTTTCTTGGACTTCCAATCTTTCTGACTTTATTTTCTGTTATTTGCCAGACAAACTTCTTCACTTAAAAAATTAGATCCACGGGGCTGGGAAGGTGGCTCAGTGGTAGAGCGCTTGCCTTGCATGCCTGAGGCCCTGGGTTCGATTCCTCAGCACTACATAAGCAAAAAGAAAAAAGCTGGAAGTGGCGCTGTGGCTCAAGTGGTAGAGCGCTAGCCTTGAGCTGAAAGGCTGAGGGACAGTGCCTAGGCCCAGAGTTCAGGCCCCACTACTGGACCTCCCCCCCCCAAAAAAAAATTAGATCCACCCAAGGAATGTCTCTGTTTTAAAGTATAAAACCCTCCACATTCATAATCCTGGAGTTACTCATGGAAGGCATACGAGGAAGAGGAAAATGTTGGAGAATTTCAAATCTTCATTCCACATTCATTTACCTTGTCTTTGTTGTTGATTTTGATTTCTTCTCAAGGTTACAGAAGAGAATGGTGAGCAGATGCCTTGTTACTTTGTCACAGTGAGCTTACAAGAAGTCGGAGGAGTTGAAACTAAGAATTGGACTGTCCCAAGAAGACTCAGTGAATTTCAGAATTTACACCGGAAGCTTAGTGAGGTATGGATGCATATGAACACAGAGCCTAAAGTTGCTGAGCACCAACAGATCCCAGAGGCTACAACAGGATTTATTCTCATTTTTTTATGTTGGTATTAGAGCTTGAACTCATGAGTTGGGTACTGTGCTTTTTTGCTTTTCTGCTCAAGGCTGGCACTCTATCACTTGAACCACAGCTCCATTTCTGGCTTTTTGGTGGTTATTTGGAGGAGTCTCACAGACTTTTCCGGCCTATGTGAATCCCTATCATCATATCTCAGCCATCTGGGTAGCTGGGATTACAGGAGTGAGCCACGGGTACCTGGTTTATTGCAGGCTCTATGAATTAGGATACTGGTTAATCTTTTTCCTTGCTGCTGATACTGACATGGTGACATTTTCAGCCTGACATTTTAAGGTTACTCATAGATCAAACCACCTAGTTTAGATAAATTCTTCGGGACTATTGTCTGATTTCATTAAAAATTACCACAAAAGCCCAGAGATGAGATCCCAGGGATTATCTAGGGCAAGTGGTTTTGAACCTGCCTATTGTGACCCTTTAATGGGTAATGAATGCAATTATGACTTGCAGCAATAGAAATAGAATAGAATTTGTTGTATTTTTGTTATTGTTGTTGTTTTTTCTATCAGTCCTGGGGCTTGAACTCAGGGCCTGGGCACTGTCCCTGAGCTTCTTTTGCTCAAGGCTAGCACTCTACCACTTGAGCCACAGCACCACTTTTTTTTCCCTTTTGTTTATGTGGTACTGAGGAATTGAACCCAGGGTTTCATGCATGCTCCCATTATGTTGGATTTTTATCACATACATTGAAGGACACAGAAAAGTTCTTGTTCTCAACCTTGAATGCCAAGTGTGCTGTTAATTTGTTTTGTGACCTGAGATTTGCACTGGACCTTTTGGATTTCTTTTTCCTCATCAGTTAGCTGCAGATATTCATAGTCCCTAAGAAAATAGTTCTTATTAAGAGAAGAAATATATACAAAGCATGTAGAAAAATATATGGCACATAACCAGACGTGGTGGCTCATCTTGTAATTCTAGCTATTTGGGAAAAAGAAATGACAGTGCATGGCCAGCCTCAGGCCCTCCCCCCAAAAAACAACAACAACAACAACAACAAATGCCTTCTTGAGAAGCTATCTCAAACAGTGGTTGGACATAGAGGTGTAAGCTTGTCATTCTTAGCAACCTGGGAAAGCACAAATAGGAGGATTACAGTCCAGACATGTCTGGGCATAGAGCAAGAGCAAGATCCTATCTTGAAAATAACCAGTGCAAAGTAACCTACACACACACACACACACACACACACACACACACACACACACTCACATATAATACACACATCCATAGTTTGCAGTACATCCCTGCTATCGATTTTAGTTAACAATGTTTGAAAGCCACTCATTGAGGTCAATTTTATTTATTTGATAGATGAGGGAAAGTAATTCCAGAACTTAATTGATTTATAGGATGTATATACAGTAGACTAATCAGGAGTACAATCTAAGTCATCTCACTTTCACATTTCCTGATGAACTGCATCTAACTCTCTTTCTGTTGAATATAATTACCCTTTAGTCCAGTAATAAAAAGCTTTTCAATCACTTCCACTTTTATTTATGTCCATTCTTCTCTTGCTCAGAATAAACTAATACTGCCAGAGTCCTGTGGTCAACTCTCAGACTCCTTTTTGGACAATATTACTCCTTCCTTTGTTCTTTCCCAGTTTTTCCCTGCCATCTCCACCCCAAGCCATATAGTTCATTTTCAACATAGTTTCTACAAAGTACTATTGTTACATTTGTTTAGTCTATGTTCCTCCATTTTTGTCATTGACTTCTGCACGCTATACCTACTTTAAAAGCATACTATTGTTTCTCATCCTATGGTCATTCCATAGAATAGAAAACAAAATATTTATTTCAAGGTAAGAGTAAATTCTTCCCCAGGTTGTTAAGTAAAATTGACAGTACAGAAACCTGCATTGTTTACTGCATGACAAATCACTAAAGTTTAGTGTAGTTTCTAATAAATATAGAAAGGAAAAATAAGTTGGGGATGATTTTGAAATAAAACATAATTGAAAAGTGAAGTGTATTTAGGATATAAATACCCTGAAGCATTAGAAGAAGAAACAAACCTTTTACTGTTCTGTGACTATCCTTTTGCCTCATTAGCATCTTTCCTATCTGTGGCCTGATGGCTGGGCTCTTTTCTTACCCTTGCTATTTCTGATTATGTCTGTCTTCCTACTATGAGAACATCTCCTGTTGACAGCTGTAATTGGAAGCACCTTTTGGGACCCTGGAGATTTTAATCTTGCCTTCCAAATGTCACTGCCTGTTTCATTTCTCTAAAATTTCATATGGCTGGTCTTAAGGATAAAATAACAGCAAATTTCTAGCACAGTGTCTGATCGAACGTAAGATTTTTGTCTATGAAAAGTAACATTGGGGCTGGGAAGGTGGCTCAGTGGTAGAGTGCTTGCCTTGTATGCTTGAGGCCCTGGGTTTGATTCCTCAGCACCACATAAGCAAAAAGAAAAAAGCCAGAAGTGGCGCTGTGGCTCAAGTGGTAGAGTGCTAGCCTTGAGCTGAAGAGCTGAGGGACAGCGCCCAGGCCCAGAGTTCAAGCCCAACGACCGGACCTCCCCCCACCAAAAAAAGAAAAGTAACATTGTCAATAATTATATCACTGATACATTATTTATGTTAATTTTCATGACAGTAATAAAGCTGAAGACGAGGTTTTCTTTTCATTTGTTTCTATTAGTGTTGATAACTGTTTTCAAAGTATTAAAAATACAACTTGTATTTATTTATTTTCCTGGTACTGGGACTGGAACTAGGGGTTTCAAGCTCTTGCTTGGTTTTCTGTTTGTGGCTGGTTAATTGGAGATAATTTTGCAGACATTTTTACCTGGGCTGGATGTGAACCATAACCTTAGATTTCAGCCTCCTTAAAGCTATGATTACAAATGTGGGCCACTAGTCTGCAGCAAAATACACTTCTAAGAGAAAACTTCTGTGACCTGTACTTAACATATATAGCATTGTCAGCATGACCTTATGATTTCTTAGTTTCTAGGAATTTGTAGGTCTGTGGATGATATGTCCATCAAATTTAGCTTAAATGGGTAGATTTTAGCAGGGTATGGTGATCCACATCAGTATCCCTGTACTCGGAAGGCTGAGGCAGGAGGATCATGAATTTGAGTCCAGCTTGGACTGCATAGCAAAACTGTCTCAACGAAAGCAGAAAAAAAATCAGAGTCTTAAATAGCAGAGAAATTCAAAACGAAGATACTGGTTTGTTCTGATTATTACTGTAAAACATGTTTTAAGACTGAAGTGTATTTTCAAAGCACTAACATTTATTTTTTTTTCCCCCTCTCAGTGTGTCCCTTCTTTAAAAAAAGTCCAGTTGCCTTCTCTTAGCAAGCTGCCTTTCAAATCTGTAGATCACAAGTTTCTGGAAAAGTCAAAGAATCAGTTAAATAAGTTTTTACAGGTAAGCAACTGAAAGGTTTTGGCTATGAGAGGAAACAGTTTGATATTTGGAGTTAAACAGCCCCATCCTAAGAGCCAACTAGTTTTCTTTTTGTTTTTACAAGACATGCTAAACTTGTTATCACTAGTGGCATACAGTTTTCTCCCCATCACTGCCAGTACCACCACCAAAGATAACTAACTAGCTGCCGTGGATCTTAATGAACAGCCACCAGTGGGTGATAGTTTCCATTGGTTATTCACTCATAAATTCTGTCTTATCAAAGTGCACACAGCATCTTACTGTCATGTATAAACATGTTATGTTTATGTATAAGAAAAGGCTTATACATAAACTTGATTTATTTTCTGGTTCCCTCTTTCCTAGGCCAGATAAATATGTACAAATCTCAAGGAGATTTTCAGTTCACAGGTCAATGAAAACAGTTATACAATTATATAAACAAACAATGTTTGGAAAGTGGTGGGATACAGTGGAATGATACAGTGAAAATGAATGGTACGTGGGTCCACCCTGTCATAACTCTCAGCAGGCATACAAAGTCTGAATGCAATTATAAGAATTTTTAGTGATATCTATGAATTTGCAAAACTCTTAAGTTGCTCAAACACAAATGAGGAAATTGTCTTTCAAGGCAATAGCTCCTTATATCTGTGAGTCAGGAGCAAGGTAAGAACCATTTGTGGCACCAAGCAGAACTGAGTAGAGGGAGTTCTGTTCTCTGCATGGGATTCTCCCATGCAGAATGACTAGCACAGAGTGACTTACCCCAGACAGGAACATTTGCCACTAAAATTACTGAAAATAATCACATACAGTTTATTGCAGAGAAAAAGGGAAACAGTTTTTAAGTTCAGAATTTGACACGTCCACTTTTATCTTGTTTGCCATGCTTGTAGTGGCTCCCACCAGCTCAGAATTTCCTGTGTAGCAGTAATCAATGCATCAATCCTCCTTTTCCCACAGAATTTACTTTCAGATGAACGACTGTGTCAGAGCGAAGCACTTTATGCCTTTTTGAGCCCTTCTCCTGACTACCTCAAGGTTATTGATGTGCAGGGGAAAAAAAACTCCTTTTCATTATCCTCATTTTTGGAAAAACTTCCTCGTGACTTTTTCTCCCATCAGGAGGTGAGTGGTCAAAAGGTTTTACCTCTCTTGTAGAATATTCATCTACAAAAGTCTGTTTGAAGTAACATACTGCTTGAAATATTGCTACTAATGCAAAGCAAATGCATCCATTTTCTGTAATGTTTTGCTCTCGTATTTTGGATCATCTTCTTGTTACCCCTTGTAAGTCAGCTGGAAAAATGAAGATACAGGACCATCACTGTAGAGGAGTTGGCTGTGTTGAAAGTTCAGGGGAGAAAGTTCAGGTTCTATTTATGAGATAATAGTCATTGGATTGTAGACAATTGGCAGGTTTCTGTGCTATTTTCCTAATACATAAGGAAAGGCTTTATGCCAGGCTGGGAGTTTCAATTTCATTTTAAGAAGTGGAGAACATGGATTATTTTGAAGCAAGATGACCTGGCAGCAATATATATGGCCAAAGAAATGTCTAAAGAGAGAGAGGCTGTATTCATTTTCTTCTTTCTTTTTTTTTTTTATGGAGGGGGGGTCTTGTTGTGGGGCCTGAATTCTGGGCCTGGGCACTGTCCCTCAGCTCTTCAGCTCAAGGCTAGCACTCTACCACTTGAGCCACAGCGCCACTTCTGACTTTTTTCTTTTTGCTTATGTGGTGCTGAGGAATCTAACCCAGGGCCTCAGGCATGCAAGGCAGGCGCTCTACCACTGAGTCACCTTCCTAGCCGAGGCTGTATTCATTTCAATCTCATATTCTGACCTGGATGTCTTGATCCATAGGTAAAAAGTTGCAGAAAACCTGTCCAGAATTTGGCTTTTCCTTAGTCTTTTGCCAAATAGCTCTGCTCTTTACCAGGGTTGGCTTAATGAGCTTGCAAAGAGGGACTGAACACTGAAAGGAATATGTTGCTTTGCTATGTTCTTTGTCAGGAGTTATCTGTTCACCATAGACAAGCCCACATCTCTGACTAAGTCTGTGTATAAATCAACTTCTCCCACCCAACTCCTTCCCACAGCCTTCCATTGAGGCTCTATGGCTTACCTCTATTGCCTCCCTTTCGTACCACCCCTTGGGAAATGCATGTGGCTCAGTCACTCTGTGAAGTGATTCGTAGATATTAGCTATTGTTGGACTTCAGTGATGCTGCTTCTGAGAATTCTCAGTCCTTTACTCTTATTATCTGATGTTTCCAGAGGCCTGTCATAGCCCACTGTCTGATCCTATGACTTTTACCTCTATGCAGACATAATTGAACATCCTCAGGTCTTCCACTGCCTGTTGTTTGGGCCTTCATGACAGCACGTCATCTTGTTCTATAGATATAGCTCTGTGTGCCGGGCACCGGTGGCTCATACCTGTAATCCTAGCTACTCAGGGGACTGAGATCTGAGGGTTGCGGTTCAAAGCCAGCTTGGGCAGGAAAGTCCACAAGACTCTTATCTCCAATAAACCACTCAGAAAACTGGAAGTGGTGTTATAGCTAAAATGGTAGAGTGCTTGCCTTGAGCTGAAGAGTTGAGGGATAGTGCTCAGGCCCAGAGTTCAAGCCCTACGACCGACAAAAAGAAAAAGAAAGAAATAGCTCTGTATGCGTGTATGTGTGTGTGTGTGTGTGTGTATGTGTGTGTGTGTGTGTGTGTGTGTGTGTATCACTGCTAAAAGTTTATATTCTCCATTGCATTCATGTGTACTGACTTGGTATGTGGCCCATAATAATCTTAGAGCTGAAACTTGATGATGTGCAGAACAGGAAATGAGCCTACATAGTGAAAGCTTGAGGAGAGCTTCAAAAATAATTGTAAGTGGGAAGGTGGCTCAGTGGTAGAGTGATTGCCCTTCATACATGAGGCCCTGGGTTCGATTCCTCAACACCACATAAACAGAAAAAGTTGGAAGTGGCACTATGGCTCAAGTGGTTGAGCGTTAGCCTTGAGCTGAAGAGCTCAGGGAGAGCGCCCAGACCTAGAGTTCAGGCCCCAAGACCGACAAAAAAACCAAACAAAACAAAAAGTCTATGACTTTAAAATACACATATTTAGATTAAAAAAGAGTAGTTTATGAACTCAAAATCATTTGTGTGAAAAGCTTAATACTTTTCTATAATTTTTAGAAAAGTGTCCTATCTACTAATTGAAATTTTAGTCCAGGGGTAGAGAGTATTTTTTTTTATTAGCTTGTTTTATTAAACTTTGAATGAGGCTTTAAGAATAAAACATTTTCTTCAGAAAAAGCACTTTGTCTTCCACATTGAAAAAGGATGGATCTCTGCATAAACGTTGAGGAATTATGTAAGGCTAAAATAAGAGCAACTACTTTATATTTGAAGAAGGAAAACAGCTATGATTTCCATGGATAAGTGACCTGTATCCTATTACTTGTCATATCCCCAGGAAGAGATAGAGGAAGACAGTGACCTGTCAGATTATGGTGATGATGTGGATGGGAAGAAAGACTCCTTGGCTGAACCATGTTTCATGCTGATTGGAGAGATTTTTGAACTTCGAGGAAGTAAGCTTGTTATTTTTGTTATTGTTTAATAGTATTGCCTGGGTAAGTGAGGCTCAGTTAATTTTGCTTTATTCCTAAAATTCATCAGATATGTATTTATGTTCATGCATTCATTCATTTAGCAAATAGTCTGAAGGACCAACCAGATGATGAAGGTATTCTTTGAGCTTCATGTTAGTGCTGAAGACACTTAAGATAGACAGCAACTCTGTATTCCCAAGTTTGATCCTGATTTGTTCCTATAGTATCTTCTCAATACAAAAGGATAAAATGCAGTTCATTTCTTTTATGGGATCCAACATACAAAAGGTATTTTGTATGTTGCTAACAGAGGGAGAATCTTCTTGTTTAAAGGTATAGTTTTGTTGCCAGGATAGCATTATGGCCAGGGATGGTAGAAAAGCCTTTATCCCATTTTTCATTCTCATTCCTATAGTGCAGTGATTCTTGGTAGAGGGAGGTGGGTGACACTGAAAAACATGCTACAATGCTCACTATAGCACCTAGCTAGCCACAGTGACAGTGCTGGGCTGAGAAATCCTGCCCTAGAGATTCCTAAAAAAACATTCACAAGCTTGGGATCAAAATACTCTTTTCTTAAGAGTTACATGAGTGCCTGCCCCAGAACGGTGTTTTGGTGAAAGGTAAACTACATGCCTTAGTCTTGAGTCCTGAATAGAACTTAGTACTCTCTGCTCACCTGTTCACAGCTCTGGAACACTCACACTTATAAGACCTGTCTAATTGGTCATGCCTGGAGATTCAGTACTACCTGGAGATACGGCATGTGCCTACATACCTTCTAACCACTTAGAAGAGGAAGCAAAGGAAAAGAGCAAGAGTATATGAGACACATTGATGTCACCCACTAATAAAATGTTAACCTATGATTATCCTGGCTTCCCCTACTCAGTCAAGCATCCTTGTCTCTTGAGGGGAAATATGGTAGGCAAAGAGTGGTCTTACATAGAAAATGAAGCTGAGTATCTTTCACACTTATAAATCCCCTAACATGTAACTTAGATATGTAAAAATTATTACCAGAAGAAAAAGTGCTAATATAATCCTAAACATATCTTCTATGTATTTTAATCTTCAGTGTCTTTTACAGTGCACCTGATCTTGAGTGGGTGATCAATAAAATGTATACATCAATAAGATGGCTACATTGATAAGTAAACAGATGAGAATTTCAAGTGCCAGAATTAACAAACTTTGTTCATTGAACCTTTTCATCAAAGCCAAAACTAAGAAAATACATAATTTCAATCATCATCACTTTGGATATATATGTTTTATAAAATACTTTGTAGGGAAACAAAAATTGATATGGATTTTTCTTTCTATAAATTAGCATTGAAAGAATCCAAAAGCATAATTGACATTAAGCAATCAATGTATTGCATTCTGCACTGAAGGCAGATATATATATATATATGTATATATATGGAAGTTCATTTTAGCATAATTTCATAATTTTAGCACAATTTCAATAATGAAAGTTAGAACTAAGATAAACTTAAACTTTAGGAGTGGGAAATAGTTATTTTAGAAGTATCCATGTGGTAGAATATCATACAAATATTAAAGATTCTTTCATTTGAAAAATCTGTGACATTTCCATATTTGGACTTTGAAAGCTATATACACTATTAATTTAATGTAAGAAGAGAAACAGAGTTTTCCACCTAAGATTTGTGTCTTCCTCAAAGAAAGCTGGCCCCTGAAATCATGAATTCTCCCAGTGTCCCTTGTGCTGTTAAACATGAAGGATGCACTATTCTAGCCTTGGCTGGCGTGCCCCTTTCCATAAATACTGAGAGATTAAGAGACCTGGTAGATGTGCCAGAGCCAGGCAGCAGCCAGAATAGAGCTCAAAATTATGTCCTCACAGTGTGCATGTCTTCCATGGAATGCCTGTTCAGAAGCATGTTTGATTCTCCAGGGACATTTCAAAGGGGAATAAATAGAACATCCTTTATAATGAGATGTGATATATTTGCCATCAGCAAAATCTTCATGCTGCTGCAGCTGCTTCTGTGGCTTTGAACAAATGAGAAAGGAGGAATGGGCCTATTTTGTGAGGGAGGGATCCTGAAGGCATGGAAAAATTGGAGCAGGAGGATATCAGTGATAAGAGAGTATTTGTAATAAAATGAGTTGGGGTTCTGCTCAAGGTCAGTATATAAAAATGACTCAGGAGCAGCATTTTGTTTTATTTTGTACCTGCTTAGCTGTCAGTCTCCTAGAAGTTGCTTTTGTCCTCAGGCCCTCTGTGTATGAGCTACTTTCTTGTCCCAGAAAGGCAGAAAAGTTATCATAACGGACATGCTAATCCAGCCTAAAAGAGGGCCTAAAATAAACATGTCTACATACTTGACAGTATTCCAGCAAATTTCGTCTTAAGAGTTCAAGGCAGTTTTGAGGCATGGATCTGATTCTAAGGATTGACTGTTAATTTGGAGGATTAATAGTAGGTTAACTGGGCATTTAAATCAAGGTATATTGTAATTATAAGCTGCTTTCTTAAAGGTAACTCTTTTGTTCAACCACTTAAAAATAATTTTTTTAAAATTAGAAATGACTTTGGATATCTTTATCTAGTAATAGATCTATTCTTTGTCGATGTTTTTTTTTTTAATTGTTATTATAAAGGTGAAATAAAGGGAGGTTACAGTTATGTTCTTGACCTTTATTTCTGTGGCTGGTCCAATGAAAATTTCTTTGTGAATTTGCTCCTTTTAGGTTTTGTTGATGAATGCATGAGGCTTGAATTTTTGTCTCGATTATAGCCAAGTCTGAATTTCTCTTTTCCTCAAATGTTACTAGCTAAGCATTTCAGGAGCTGGAGATAAATTTTATGAAATCATAGCTTTTTTTACCTTTTGTAGTTTATGTTCATATTATGGACCTACAAAATGTATCCTCTTATCAATAATAAAAATTGGAATCTGTAGAGCCCCTCTCACACAGAAGACCCTCAGGGGGGAAAAATAAAGCCCATGTTAATCTCATCCTTTTCCAGATGAAAAATCTGAGGTTCTGACAAATGTCTGACTACCTGCTTTAGAAAGTGGTGTTGGAGATTGTGGAATTCAGATCCCATTCACAATTCTGGCTGAGGATTTCCTTTCTTACCCTAAATACATAAAACGTAAAAGTACATAATGTTCTACAGGCTACTATTCAAATGGGAACAGTTAGACATGCCATTTTACAATATTCGACAATATTTGTCTACAATATTTGACTATAGATGTTTCTCATTCAGAATTGTGCGTTAGAAAATTGGGTTCAGCAAGCCAGACAGAAATCTAAATTTAGAACTCTACTGTCTGCTAGTGGGAAACAGGCATGTTGTCAGTAGCTTCGGGACATAGAAAGTGAAGTATTATTTTCACATGCTAGCACAGCTGTTCTGTAGACCCTGGACTGGAAGTTGGGTTGGGGGGTGCCCTCTTAGATTTCATCTCATCAGTTGCTTAGTAATAAAATGAAAACTTGGTCTGAGGAATTTTCCTGAGCAGAACTGTGTCTATTAAAACCCAAATTCTGTAAAAAGCAAATTTTAATTGATGTCAGGACCCAGACTGAATTAAGTGATAAGATTTATGTTTTGTACAGCTATAAAATCTGCATAATTGTGCTATTCTGTGATAAATTTTTTCTCTGATTTACATTTCAGTGTTTAAGTGGGTGAGAAGAACATTAATTGCTCTTGTTCAGGTCACATTTGGAAGAACCATCAACAAGTAAGTTAAACAAAATCAGTGTTTGAATACATGACAATCAAATACTTTAGGAATAATAGCCAATGATTCTCTTATTTTACTATATAAAATTTATAAATTATATAGGAATTATAAAGAAAATGTGGTGTTCTTTTATATTAATTTACAAATAGATTATATTTTCCTTGTGGTCATAACCAAATTTCTAAGATTGAAAAAAAAAGTTGTATATGTAACTTGAGGGCAGGAAGAGGAAGAGGAAAGTAGGGAAAGCGAAAGAAGGGGTGACACTTTCCATAAGAGAAATAACACTAGAATTATAATGAAAATAGTTTCAGTTGTCCATCAGAGGATTGTTTAGTTGCCTTGGTATTTTGTTTTACCATAAAAATAGTATGTTTAACTTATTTCCACCTTAGGCAAACTTCAGTATTGATGGGCCTTAGTAGAAAATTTCCAAAATGGCCTTCTTTTCCTCAGTGTTGCTTATTTGTTTTTCTTGTCAGTTTCAGAAAATCAGGAATACATTTCTTGTTCCTTTTTATGATATTGACTTCTACTTGTAAAATGAGCAGCTGTGGTTTATGAGTGATGAAGTTACTTTGCTTGTTGTTTTCATGGAAATGGAGAGAAGGTTTAGAGAATTTTTAGTCTTTTCATTATCAGGTGGAGAGTTTTGGAGCACCTGGTACTTTGTTATTTTTGCCTTTAGCAGATGATGATATAACATTAAGCAGCATAGGCCTTTGGTCTGGAATAATTAGAGTCTCACATACCTTCCTACAGGTTTTGGCTGATAGAATCTATTTAGATAATAACTTCTGGAAAGTAAGAGTTACCTGATTTTAAATCAGAGAGTGAAATTCTGTCCTTTGACTTCTTGGGAGTACCATGGTTAACTCAAAGCAAAGACTACAGAGGGAACCATGATGTTGCTTTGATATGGCTTTTTCTTAAAAGATAATTAAGAAGGCAGGTCAGGGTTGAGAAGTTGGCTCAGTGGTACAGTGCTTGCCTCGCATGCATGAGGCCCTGGGTTTGATTCCTCAGCACCAAATATGCAGAAAAAAGCCAGAAGTAGCTCTGTGGCTCAAGTGGTAGGGCGCTAGCCTTGAGCTGGAGCTGAGGGACAGTGCCCAGGTCCAGAGGTCAGCCCCCATGACTGACCAAAAAAAGAAAGCAGGTCAGCAGGTGTTCTCTTAAATTCAAAATCCTTGGGGCAGCACAGCTATCAAAAAACTCAGCTATCGGGCTGGGAAGGTGGCTCAGTGGTAGAGCGCTTGCCTTGCATGCATGAGGCCCTGGGTTTGATTCCTCAGCACCACATAAGCAGAAAAAAAAAAAAAAGCCGGAAGTGGCGCTGTGGCTCAAGTGGTCAAGTGCTAGCCTTGACCTGAAGAGCTGAGGGACAATGCCCAGGCCCAGAGTTCAGGCCTCACGACCGGATCCAAAAAAAAAAAACCCAAAACTCAGCTATCAACTCTATGTACCCAAAACAGCCATAAACAGTAATATACTCCGGGTGGCATTCAATAAAATTTAATTATATAAAAAAGCACAGAAATTCCACTAAACTAATAGAATGGCTCTATTTGGTCTAGGCTTGAATTGTAGAGTTCTAAGCAACATAAAGAAGTATCGTAGGAAACAATATTAGAACAGAATTAATATTACAGCTTGACTCAGTAGAGTTTAAATACTCATTCAAAAGTGACTGATAAGATGTGCAAAGTACTAGGTTTGAAATACTGGTTTTGGAGCCATTTCTGAAACTCTTACAATTATCGTATTTAAAAGTTTGGTTGGAAGTCAGATTCTTTAAAGAATTTTTTATTATTATAAATTTATTATAAAAATTTGAAGCTTTAGGTCTTTCTGGCATTAACAGTCTAAATTCTTTTCTCATTTTGAACAGAAAGGCTTCCTCCTTCCAAATTCATTTCTGTTTACTTGTCTTTTGGTAGTGGAACTGATTAAAATTTGACCAACTAATAGGATTGTATGAAAGACTTTAGTAACTAGATAAAATCCATTTATGCATAACTGCAAGTAAAATACTTGCCAATTTTCATTCCCATGAATATTTGAAATTGTCTAGCTAGTACTACACTAGCCAGGCATAAAAATTCACATGACTCCCTTCTCAACCCATAACTGGGCACAGGAGTACACATCTCTTTTCTTAGCTACATGGGAGGCTCAAATCAGAGGATGGTGATTCCAGACCAGCCTGGGCACAGGAAAGTTTGCAAGACTCCATTTCAACAGAAGAAACTAGAGAAGTGGCACACTCCTGTCATCCCAGCCATGATGGGAAGCCTAAAATAGGTAGATTATAGTCTAGGTGTGTACTCAAGACAGTAAGTAAGATCCTATTTGAAAGAAAGCAGTGTAGAAAATGCCTGGAAGTGTAACCCAAGGGATAGATTGCCTAGAAAATATGTCACCTGAGTTCAAACCCCAAAAAGGAAGAAGTGGATTTATATTTCAGGTTATAATGCTTCATAGATAAATTAATTAGGGCAGTTACAAGCTTAAACAAATCAGTCTCTTGGTTCTTGTCATACAGACTGGAACTTCAGGGCAAATGTTTAGAGAGGCTGGTGCCAATGAAAACATGAACCACGAAAATGAGAAAAAGGCTTTTATAGCCAGAGTTGGAAAATTCCATTTCTAGTTGTATTTATCAAACATTTCGATCAGGTTGCATCTTCACCTACCCTTGAATGCATACCTTTTCAAAACAGAGTACACACTTTTTGAAAAACCTCATCTAAGCAAAATTTTTCCTCTTACAAGACAAATCCGGGACACAGTGAACTGGATTTTCAGTGAGCAAATGTTGGTTTACTACATCGGTGTTTTCCGGGATGCTTTTTGGCCAAATGGGAAATTGGCAGCACCATCTGCAATTAGAAGTGATGCAGGAAGTCAGGAAACAAAACAGAAGGCGCAGCAAAAGCTACTTGAAAACATTCCAGGTGAGGCTGGCTGGCTACCAGGGGATGCAGCGATAAGAAGGAAATGGCAGCACTGTGAAAATATTTTCATTTCTGTCTCTCAGGAAACATTATTTACAATTTTAAACATCAGGCTTTTCTGTTAAAGCCATTTCTTACTAAGAAGTTATACTGAGAATCTTAAGAATGTATACAGAAATGTGCTAATAATAAATGTGCTTTAGAGATCAGGCTACTGTGCAATGCAAAATGCATACATTTTGTAAACTAGTAATAGCAATAGTAATTGTTTTTTATAAAAACCTTATGTTGAAAATTTCTAAATGGACATTATTTTAAACATTTGCAAGAACTGACCACTCACACTTTTACCACGTTAGTACTAACTGGTGCTTTTTTGAACTATATATGTATCTGAAGACATCTCCCACTGAATGCACACTGCATTTTGTCAGTAGCCACTTTAGACACAATCTTGATGGTTTTCAGTGCTGGGTATGTGGCTTAGTGATAGAATTCACTTTTCAACAATGCACCAAAAAACAGAAGTGTTAATTTTACAGATACACTTCAAAGCCTTGTTGGACAGCAGAATGCCCGTCATGGTATAATAAAAATATTCAAGGCACTTCAAGAAAGAAGAGCTAACAAGCATCTATTATATGTGAGTAAATCAAAGCCTATCAGATAATTATTTCTTGAATTTTATGTTTCTGTTCAAATATGGGTAAATGTTAATCCTTTTATTTATTTTGCTAGTCCTAGGCTTGAACTTATGCCCTGGGCATTGTCCCTGAGCCTCTTTGTGCTCAAGGCTAACAGTGCTACTTCTAGCTCTTTCTGAGTAGTTTTTGTTGGGGATAAGAGTCTCATGGACTTTTTTGCCAGGGCTGGCTTTAAACTGCCATCCTCAGATCTCAGCCTCCTGAGTAGCTAGGATTATAGGCATGAGCCATTGGTGCCTGTCCCCTATATTCTTAATTACTGTGACAATGTTGTATCTATTTTCCTTGCCTCATTTTTTTTGTCTGTTCTTTAATTAGAAAAAAACAAAATACCACAGTGTGTACAGCACGATCATCTTCATATCTCCTCTTTCTACTCTGATGCAAATTTCCAATGATTGCTTAGTTTTAGCTTATAACATATTCTGTTTGCCATTCATCTTTATTTCTTCTTTTTTGTGCTGACACTGGGGCTTAAACTCAAGGTCTCACTCTCACTTGACTTTTTTATTCAAGGCTAGCACTCTCTTACCACTTGAGCTCCACCTCCACTTCCTCTCAGTCATCTGATTAGAGTTACCAATATTAAATAGTATGGATGGCATGACAGTGGTTAGGCTATGAAATAAACTGAGTTTATATAGGTTCAGTTCCTTTTAAGAGTCCCTTGTGTACTAAGAGTAATTTTGGAACTAAAATTGGACTTTGATCTTAGACATAGAGGATCTTTGAGCAAACTCTTGGAAGAACCCTCATCCTTCTTTTTCTTCTTTCTTGGTACAGGTGCTGATGGAGCTGCTGCTAATTGAACTGTGTCCTGAGCTAAGAACTCACTTAGATCAATTCAAGGCTGGTCAAGTCTGAGACTGCACAATTCAGCCACCAGAGAAATGTCTGTGTAATAATAGACATGAAACATTTTCCTCTTTTCCACAGAGGGCCTGACTGAGAACCATAGCAATTTTTATTTTTATTTTAGATCCTCCCTCTAATTTCATGTAAAACAAGCAGAATTGAGGGGCGGGGAGGGAGACTAGATACTATAGTAGGCCACAACAAAATTGTTTATTGATTTTATTTAAATACTATAAATACTTTAAAGTTCAACATGCTGGTTGCAATACAAATGTTAATAGGTGATAAGAATCTAGGACATATTTTAAATATTTATGGAAATCAGTTTTGTTTTAAAATGAAGAACTATGAATATTGTACAGTTAATTTCCTCACTGAGGATTCTAGACATTCCTGTGTTATTTCATGTGTATGAGAAACATTGTTGTGCAATGCTTTGTGTAAAGTTACTGTGAAAATTTTATTGTCTTTATTTTTACCAAAGATTTACCATAGTTTGAAGCATTTGAAGCAATAAAATATAAAAATGAATTATAGTGCTCAATATTAAAGATGTTTATATCTCAAAAAGAGAAGTTGAAATAATTCAAGCAATTCAAAATATTTTTTATTATCTGTAGGTAGTTGTACAGAGGTGTTGCCATTTAACAAAGCAGTGTCACCTTTTTAAAATTCCCACTCATCCCTCCCCTAGCTACCCCTTTCATCATTCATTTTAATTTTATAGGATTATACATTGAATTATTGACTGTATTCTTCCCCTCTTCTCTCTTCAATTTATCCATCCCTTTCCCACCCCACCCCTCTCAAGTACTTGATTTGATTTCTGCTCTGGCCATAAGTAAAATGCAAATCAAAACAACATTGAAATTCCACCATTATGAAGAAAATAATAACATATGTTGATGAGGATGCAGCCAAAATAGAACCCTATTTTATCACTGTTGGTGCAGATGTAAACTTGTTCAACCACAATATGGAGGTTCCTCAAAAAATGAAACATAAGAGTACTCTATGATCCATCATTTCCATTCTTGGTCATTTATCTTAAAGATTATAAACCAGGATACAGGAAAGCCACCAGCACAACCATGTTCTTTACAGCACTGTTCGCCATAACCAAGCTTATGGAATGAGCTCAGATGCTCCTCAACCGACAAATGGATCAAGAAAATGTGATATACAAACACAATAGAATTTTATTCATTCATTAGAAATAACGATGTACCATTTGTAAAGAAATGGGAAGACGGAAAAATTATCTTAAGTGAAGTAAGTCAGGCTCAGAGAAACAAAGGATGCCTGTTTTCCCTTATATGTGGAAGCAAGAATTAGCTTATAAACTTATAATACATTGGGTTGTATGCAAGTATATACAAATATATTGAAATATGGTAGATTCAAGGGAGAACTCAGTGTGATTCTTTACAAAAGGCAAAGTTCATCAAAATATTGAGTTCTTTGTAGAAAACACAGTCCACTAAAGAACTTCTGCAAGAAGATACTTCTTTGTTCAGGCATACATATATGAAATACATGTGTTTTATTGTATGAAAAGAGCCAAATTAGTGCTAAAATGAGGTGAACTGAACCTTGCAGGAAGGTCAGGAAAATAGGGGAGGGATGTTACTTCAGAGACTTTGTAGACTTGATTATGTCATTAAGTCTTACTTTTGAGGGGCATTGGTGAGGCCCAGAATACAGAAGTTTTGTTTTTGACAGTGGGGCCATGGACAAGTCACTTAATCAGTTTACTGGGGCTTTACCATTTCCTGAGCAGTGATATAACTTCACTAGCTCCCAAAAGTAGTGAAAACAGAACAATTAAAATTTAAAATTTATTTGATATAAAAGAAAATTACTGACTATATTCAAGTGGTATATAGCTTATTGATAGCTCATACTTGATAAATTTTTGATAAATTCTGAATTAGTATTAAAAACTAGTACACCAAATTTCATCTTTGAGATTCTTCTAGTGACTTTTTGATCCTTTTTCAAACCAAGATATTTGAGACTTCAGAAAAACCCAAGGTTGGTTATTTTGTATTGTCCCTTCAAAGTGATATTGAAAATACTACTTAAAATGCATTTAGTGTAGCTAAAAAATTTGAAGGTGCCAAGCCTAAAATACTTACCATAACAGTTACTGGAAATGTCTGTCTTCTGCATAACTCCATTCTGTCACTTCAATTCTTGCTGTTAATTTATGTGAGGGAAGGTATTCAGACTCCTCAGTATTTCTTAATAATAAATTCTCATTTTTATGAGTTAGTAACTATAATGAATATTACAGGAGTTTTTAAAACAATCTGGAAGCCTCAGCTAACTTGAGTTAAAGACAGATGGCACTTAGAGGTTAAGGTAGTGATTTGCAGGTCCCAGATCATCACTTTTGTTAAGTACAGTGAACTGAAATTCTAAATTCCAAGTTGGGTTCACATATAGGGATGGCATAGTACCACATGTGCATCAGATTCTTAATGTTTAGGATTTCTCTGATGTATACTTTGTTCTGTTTTCCAAGTGTTAAGAGATCAAGCTCTGGGCCTCACTCATGCTAAGCAAGCCATTTTACCATTGGTCTACATTCCCAACCCTGAAACATGTATTTTTATGGCAGTTTAAAAAGTGGTCTTTACTTTGGGATGAAGATAGCAGATCCATTAAATGTGTCACTAATGTCATCATTACTCTGTTACTATGTTTTCTTGTATCTGGGAGCATTGGTTCATTCCTGCCCTAGCTACTCAGGAGACTAAGGAGCTTGAGACCAGCTTGGGCAACACAGCAAGAAACCTTATCTAAAACAACAATGAAAATACTGTGTTCTTTTTTTTGAAGGGGGGGTCTGGTTGTGGGGCCTGAACTCTGGGCCTGAGTGCTGTCCCTCGGCTCTTCAGCTCAAGGCTAGTGCTCTACCACTTAAGCCACAGCGCTACTTCCAGCTTTTTTCTTTTTGCTTATGTGATGCTGAGGAATCAAACACAGGGCCTCATGCATGCAAGGCAAGCGCTCTACCACTGAGCCACCTTCCCAGCCCCGTGTGTTCCTTTGTTTGCATTCTAAAAGGAAAGCTTTTGGAACTGCAAAATCTGGATTTCAAATACCTGAAGAATATTACAACAATGGTATTCAGACTAGAGCAAAGCAAGTTTATGGACAGAAATTAGATTCGTATTATACAACATTGTATGGTTTGGGGACACAATAGTAATAGAGAATAATGTAGTGTCCAACTACAATTTTAGAAGCAAGGGACTTGTTCAGGCTAATATTTTTTAGGTGTCAGAAGTATATACTTGAGGCTATCTCACATCCCTGTATTGAAACTTCTTCCCTTTTTATAAAAGACAAATTAAGCCAAAACAGTCCATGAAATTAAAACAAGATCAGGTAGTTTTCTGCTATGCACCAGTTGCAGTGACATCACATATATTAACTGATTTTTCCCCCAACTCTAAAAGAGGTCCTGTTTATAAAATCTATTGGAAAGAGTATTTTGATGTATAAAACCTGTTTCAGTTTAATAGAGAAAATGTATTGACAAGAAGATGTTACATTATCTTTAATATGTTTATATATGTAACTCACAGATACATGATTGCTTTACAATTTTATGCATTTGAGTGATAGTGTTCTTTCTATTTCTGTCAAGATAGACTTTTCATATGAGATGGTTTAAATCTGAATTTTTTTCTTTATCCTAAAATGTAGAAAATGAAGTAAAGCAAAGGAAAATAAGGAAAAACATTTTGTGTTAATTCATAGTAAATGGTTTTTCTGTGGAAGACTTGGAAAGATTGGAGAGATATAATTCTAAGCAATTTCTTTTTTTTTTTAATTTTTATTTTTTTTTATTTTTTTAATTGTAAAGATACTATACAGAGGGTTACAGTTACATGAGTGAGGTAATGAGTACACTTCCTCTTGAACATTGTTACCCCCTCCATTGTTTTCCCCCTACCATCCCCTCCCTCCCTCCCTTCCCCGAGGTTCTTTTTTTTTTTTTTTTTTTTTGATTGTGATTAAGTGATTACATAATTTCAAAGTCACAAGTTCATTCTAACTTCCCTGGAGCAAATTGTCTACCACAGTCTGTAATATATAACAGTGTTCACATGTTATATACCATATTTGTGATCAGCAGCATGGGGATATTTAGTAGTGGTTCAACCAGATGAGCAGGAGTTCTTTGTTTCTTAAGTCCTGTTAGTTTTGTCGTATCACCTAACATTTTGGATTTAGCATCCACTTATCAGGGAGACCATGTACCGTTTGTCTCTTCGTTCTTGGCTTACCTCGCTCAACATGATTCCTTCTAGCTCCATCCATTTCCCTGCAAATGCCATTATTTTGTCATTTCTAAAGGCTGCATAATATTCCATTGTGTATAGATACCACAATTCTTGGATCCATTCATCTGTGGTGGGGCATCTAGGTTGTTTCCATATCCTAGCTATTGCGAACAGTGCTGCAATAAACATGGAGGTGCACGTGTCCTTGTATATTGGTTCCTGTTGTTCAGGGTAGATGCCTAGAAGTGGTATGACTGGGTCGTAAGGGAGGTCAATCTTTAGCTTTCTAAGGACCCTCCAGACTGTTTTCCAAAGTGGTTGTATAAGTGTACATTCCCACCAGCAGTGTAATAGGGTTCCTCTTTCTCCACATCCCCTCCAGCATTTGTCGTTGGCTGATTTGTGGATGTGGGACATTCTGACTGGGGTGAGGTGGTATCTCAGGGTTGTCTTTATTTGCATTTCCTTCACCACCAGGGATGATGAACATTTCCTCATGTGTTTCTTTGCCATTTTTATTTCTTCATTTGAGAAGTCCCTCTTTAGTTCCCTTGCCCATTTAGTAATTGGTTTGTTAGGTTTGGGAGGGATTAGTTTCTTGAGTTCCCTGTATATACAGGATGTTAACCCCTTGTCTGATATATTGCTGGTAAATATTTTTTCTCAATTAGTTGGTTGTCTTTCTAGCTTAGTTGCGATAGATTTAGCTGTGCAGAAGCTTTTTATTTTAAGGTAGTCCCATTTGTCGAGTCTCTCTCCAACTTGTTGTGACCCTGGGACTCTGTTCAGGAAGTTCCTTCCTGTGCCTATTAGTTTAAGTGTCTCTCCTACTCTGTCCTGCAGTAGTTTCAGAGATTCAGGTTTAATGTTAAGGTCTTTAATCCATTTTGAGTTGATGTTAGTGCATGGTGATAGGCTGGGGTCCACTTTTAGTTTTCTGCATGTGGCTGCCCAGTTTTCCCAGCACCAACGGTTGAAGAGGCTGTGTTTCTTCCATTGTATGTCTTTGGCTCCTTTGTCGAATATCAGCTGGCTGTAGGCCTGTGGATTTATTTCTGGATCTTCTATTCTGTTCCATGGGTCTTCGGGTCTGTTTTTGTGCCAGTACCATGCTGTCTTTGTTATTATAGCTCTGTAGTAGAGTTTGAAGTTCGGCATGGATAGCCCTCCCATATTGTCTTTATCCCCTAGAATTGTTTTGGCTATTCTAGGTCTTTTGTTGTTCCATATAAA